TGGGGAAAGCTACCGGTATGAGCCACCGCATGAACACTGGTAATGAGCATCCTATTCATAGGCGTCCATATCGGGTGTCGGCAGCCGAGCGTCACATCATCTTAAGTGAGGTCGACAAAATGCTCGCCAAGGACATCATTGAGCCATCCTGCAGTCCTTGGGCTTCTCCTGTAGTGCTAGTCCGTAAGAAAGACGGTGCATGGCGTTTCTGCGTGGATTATTGACACCTAAACAAAATTACCAAAAAAGACGTCTACCCTCTGCCACGAATAGATGATGCGCTTGATTGCCTCTACGGGTCCCACTATTTTTCCTCCATAGACCTTCATTCCGGCTACTGGCAGATAGAGGTAGACGAAATGGACCGTGAAAAAACAGCATTCATCACCCCCGATGGCCTATATCAGTTCAAGGTCATGCCCTTCGGCCTTTGTAACGCTCCAGCCACCTTCGAACGAATGATGGACTCCCTGCTCAGAGGATTCAAATGGTCCACCTGTTCGTGCTACTTGGACGACGTCATCGTCTTTTCACCAACATTCGAAACTCACATAGAGCGCCTCTTAGCCATCCTGGGAATCTTCCGTCGCGCTGGCCTGCAGCTCAACTCGCCCAAATGTCACTTTGGACGCCATCAAATCACAGTGCTTGGCCATTTAGTAGACGCCAACGGTGTACAACCAGACCCGGCAAAAATCAGCGCCGTCAAAAAACTTTCCTGTACCACGATCTCCGAAGGATGTACGCAGCTTTATCGGACTATGCTCCTACTTTCGACGCTTCGTGAAAAATTTTGCGCACATAGCGAGGCCGCTTACGCAGCTCCTCAAGAAAGAAGTCCCGTTTTCATGGGGCTCTGAAGAGGCTTCTGCGTTCTCGACTCTCGTCGCTCTTCTCACTACCCCTCCGATTCTGGCAAACTTCAACCCTGCTGCCCCTACGGAAATCCGTACAGATTCAAGTGGGCATGGCATTGGTGCAGTGCTGGCTCAAAAACAGCATGACCATGATTGCGTTCTTGCATATGTCAGCCGCCTCTTATCCGCCCCTGAACGTAACTATTCGATCACAGAGCGTGAGTGCTTGGCTCTTGTATGGGTGGTGGCGGAATTTCGACCTTATTCATACGGACGCCCATTTTCGATAGTTACTGACCACTACGCACTCTACTGGCTGAACTCTCTGAAAGATCCATCAGGCCGCCTTGGTCGCTGGGCTTTGCGCCTGCAAGAGTTTTCCTATTCGGTGGCAAATCTGGCCGCCTAAACCATGATGCCGATTGCCTCTCCCGGTACCTTGTCGACGATCCTGAGGACACTGACGAGCTTACGGAGAACTCTATCTTGTCAGTGTCCAACTTCCTTAATATTGGGGAAGAACAGAAGCGTGATCCAGAGCTGCTTGACATCATCAGCCGTATGGAATCCTCCCCAAATGATGCTTCCGTCCGTTACTTTGTCATTCAAAAGGGTGTGCTATACCGTCGTGATTTCCGACCAGATAGGCCCGACCTTCTCATTGTTGTGCCTAAGCATTTGCGCCGCTATGTTCTCACCGAACTTCACGACGCTCCCACGGCTGGACACCTTGGCGTATCCCGCACGTACGAGCGCATCCGGCGCCGTTTTTTCTGGCCAGGCCTTGTTCGTTCGGTACGCCGATACGTTGCCACGTGTGACCTATGCCAACGACGTAAAACACCGTCGCTGCTACCCGCTGGCCATCTTCAACCAATCGACATACCCGCGGAACCATTTCACCGTGTTGGGTTGGACCTGTTTGGTCCTTTTCCCACATCAACATTGGGAAACAAATGGATAGCCGTTATCACAGACTACGCTACACGCTACGCTATTACGCGAGCTCTACCAACCAGCTGTCCAACCGACGTCGCTGACTTCTTGTTACGGGACGTTATATTGATTCACGGTGCTCCGAGACAGTTTCTCACAGACCGTAGCCGTACATTTCTATCCCAAGTCAACGCCGACATTCTGCGTTCTTGTTCCACGCAACACACACTGCCAACCGCTTACCACCCTCAAACAAACGGCCTCACGGAACGATTTAACCACACTTTAACAAATATGCTCGCTATGTACGTGTCGCCCGACCACCGAGACTGGCACCTGGCCTTACCCTACGCAACTTTCGCGTATAGTTCATCCCGTCACGACACAGCGGGCTTTTCGCCATTTTACTTATTGTACGGAAGAGAGCCGAAGTTACCACTGGACACAGTCATCTCAGCTCACACTTCGTCCACCAGCGAGTATGCCCGCGACGCGATTGCGCGAGCCGATCAAGCCCGTCAGCTCGCTTGCGCTCGGCTGATGGCGTCGCACGCCAACCAATGCCATCGGAACGATGCGGAACATAGAGACGTACATTTCGCTCTCGGTACCCTCGTTTTACTCTGGTCCCCTCATCGTCGGCTGGGCCTATCCACAAAACTTCTGTCTTATTACACAGGACCCTACCGTATATTGCGTCAAGTAACACCTGTCACCTACGAGATCAGCCCCATCTGTCCATCATCATCTACTATGCGACCCAGTGATATCGTACACGTCTCGCGAATCAAGCCCTACAATAATGCGTCAGATAACGACCTTTAAAGCACCGGGACGGTGCCTCCGCTGCCGGGGGTCATGCTACGCGCCAGTGCATGGAGCTGAAGAAGACGAAGGAGATAGACTGGTGCGAGCTAATCTGTGTGGCTGGCGCTGCTCGCTTAACCGGCTGAAAATACATCGGTGACTACCCCTCTGAGTCAGTCTCCTTCCCGTAACAATATTATTAAAGGGAAAACAGAGATCGGAGCGGAGAGAAGGCAATGGTAAAATATATCACAATATCGTAGAGGTGGCATAACTATTAGTATTTCGTACGGCTCTTGTCTCAGTAGCAGTGCCATGAAAATGTTACCTTTTTGTGTATATATATATATATATATATATATATATATATATATATATATATATATATATATATATATATATATATATATATATATATATATATATATATATATATATATCATAATGTGTTTTCGAGCGCCCGCCATTACTTTGGTAACGAAGGTGAGCCTTCATACTGAATAAGACACTGCACACGGTGGAAAGTGCCTACCTTTGAATGGGAAAAGCGTTGGTACAGCATTGGCTTCAGCTTCTTCCATCCATCTGCCCGCTTTTGCTCGAAACAGCATTCTTCAAAGTGAGCCTGTATGGAAAATTGACGTTGTTAATGTACGTGATTTGTTCCTTCGAGCAATAACAACAAAGCACGACAAATCAAAGATATCGAACAAACTGCACGAATACGGCATGACTTCCGCACACGAGCATAACATAGAGGTGCAATTCTCTTGAATTATTACACCTACTTCCGTTACAGATATGATAAGCTAGAATAACTGTCAAAACAGCATGCACGACATAACGTATGAAATACCTTTATAAACAAAACTGCGAAACACAAGCATAGCGCTTCACATGTTTTGAGCTCTCAGATTTAATCCTCACACTGCTATGTAGGCGCAAAGATAGGTAGGGAACAATTTTGTTAAACTAAGCGCGATACGCCTCAGATAGCTACAGCCCTCGTGGTTCAGAAAGACTGATCGTATTTTCCAAGCCTGTGCCTTAGTTCATTATAGCAAGTGAAAAAAAGGAGCTGTAAATGCACCGGAGGTTCCATATGTTGGTCCCCGCTGTAAGAGGCTACGTTGCCACCAATCTGAACACATAAGATATCAAGTCTGCGGCTTAGAAAGAGTGGTGCAGACACGCTGGCATATGTATTTCACACGGCTACGAATCAGGCACTCATATTGCATATACAGGTATGTTTCATCGGCTGCCACTTGTCCCGCTTGCTTTTAGCGGTCCATAGGAGCCGTCTTTTTGGGTCTCTGGGGAAGGAAAACATTCTGAAGCCATTTTTAGCGCTGTTACTGCATTGCGGAACACAGCACCCAGGCATTCTACGCAAAGACGGCGTGAATAGTGTTGCTTTCCGTGTCGAGCGAGAGAGTCGGCGCGAGTGGAAAGCAAGAAAATGGTGTCGGAGCTCCCCGAGAACCGGTTGTGGCAGCAACTGCTCCGTCAAAGAGTGGCTCCTCGCTCAGCGGGGCGCGCGCATCAAGGCACTCTAAACGCACTAAGTTTCCTGCGTCCTCTGCCACACCGATCCTCAATTTTTGCGGAGCTTGTCGCCAGCGCCCGGTGCGGAGCTCCCATCGCTACGCAAATATAAACTTTGGTTCCCTATAGAAACCAGGTTTACTTTTGCATGCATATGGTCTTTTTGAAATTTCATTGGGAGGTCGTTGCCGTAATACTGCAACAACTTGTTAACCACAAACGTGATGTTTGTATCCTTTTGAGTCACCTAGTTAACATTTCCCCTATTGCCGACACAAGCTGTTTTACGATCCGCGACGAAGTGCTGATCATTCAAAAAGCTACGGTTTTGGAAAATCACAAATTGTTCCGCCGCCCTAAAAAACACGGCAAGTGGCTGCGAAAGTTTACAACCGAATCGACGAAAAAAGAAACCCAAATACGTGTATTATCAGCACAAGTGGCAACTCCGCAAGTGGCTTTTCGACGTCATTTATTACTTTTTTTATCATTAGGATTAAACCCAACGGCCGCCAGCCTTTCGAGGTATCGCCAAGTCTCACCGAATATCGTATCGACCCCTGACTCTGGTGACATATAAGTTTTTCTCCTTAAAGAGAATCAGATACGAGTTTTGCAAGATATAACCTCTGACAGAATGGACCCTCTACCCTTTGCAGAAATTGGAGGGAGAGGAACAACAGGGAGACGCTCACGTCGACTCCATCTGAGTGTTCAGTAAAAACCGATCAGGTAAAGGAAATTTGCTTTGGGCAAGACCATGATCCGGCTAATCCTAGTCCATTCTTTTTTTTTGCTGGGGGGGGAGGAGGCTTCGTTTAGTGATAGCACTAATGGTGACATCACGCACAGGTATTCGGGCTGCTACACGCTCTTCGCTCTGGCAAAGGAAGGCCTGAGTCCCAAACAGAAGTGGCTGCCACCTATGCGAATTGTGGTCAAAGACCTTGGCAGCGACATGATACGGCTACTGATCGACATCGCCTACCATATTCCCCTCCTTGAACTTGTAACACAGCACAACATCGGAGAGGTGCTCGATCTCACCGAAATGCTACAGGTCAGGGTAGGTACGAGATGTAATTCCTTTTTCATCATCGTCATCAACAGCATCAACAAAGCTTGTGCAGTTATGTGGTGCACGTATTGCATTACAGAAGCAAAATGGGCATTTCGTTACCTCGCTTTATGCAATACGGTGTGCTAAGAAATCGGCTCTTCTACTGGCAGTAGATGCCACGGGAAAGTTTCAAACGTCGAATGTATTCAGCACGAAGGCAGCGGCATGATTCAATTGCTTGCCGAGTAGCCAAGCATAACAGGCGAACAGGGAGGCCATAAGAACGTAGACATATAAGGCTATGGTGTTCGACTCATGAAGTTCAAGCTTACGCACGTCCAAAATCTTCATTGAAGGGGTTCGAAGAATGGCCGTGTACATCAATGCATGCGCGTGCGAAACAAACCTGGCGATCAAAGTTCATCCGAACTGCCACTGCGCAAAATGCCTCATAGTTTCATAACCATTATTTGAGTTTTGTTATATAAAAACTCCTCATTAAAATGCACAACACCACACAGTATTTATCCGATGTGGTTTGAATGGTTCAGCTAAGCCACCTACTTAACCACTGCGTGAACTTCCTCAAGCGTGACAACCAGCCGGAGAGCTGCATAGACAATTACTACCTGGTGTCCAGTCGCGGCTATAACCACCTTGCCAATGAAGCCTTTCGCTACCTGCTTCGAAACTTCGATCAGGTACGTGCGCATGGACTTGAATTACCTGCAACAACTTATTACTGGATGAAAGTAGCAAATTCAAAGTAGACAGAAAAATGACAAATTTTTGCATCCTATCATTCCCGATACCCGGGTAGTAAGCACGACAGAAATTCGTTGACAAAGGGAATAAGAACTTCTTGTTGAAACTTTAGTTATGGCGATGTTTTTTTTTTGTCCGAACACTTCTCGTGGATTCTCCTGGGTAAACGGAAGCATTATAGTGTCAGTGAGACGAACACAACAAGTGGTATTGGCGAACGCCCTGGCGTTTGTCCGTCTCACTTTTTGTGTTCGTCTCGTTGGCGACCTAATCTTTACACTATACATGCACCAACTAGCCCAACAGAAAGTGCTATTCGAATACCGTAGTGGCTGTTCGCGAAACATTAATGAATCAAGGGCGAGAGGTGGCAATACAGAAGTGTTGATTTAATACAATTTTGTAAGAGGCGCTTGATCGGCCAGCTATTGGCTACAGGCAGCCGCCACCTCTAGCTACTGGCTCCTCTTAACGCATGTTGGCTTTCTTAACTCTCCAAAAAAAACAGATAAACAATTGCCAAATCCCACGTGCAGTAGAAATTGATGATATGCGAACCAGGAATAAAAAATGCTGACATGTCTCTTTAAAATCGGCACAATGTTATGAGGTGGAGGTAAATGATGCAACGTAAGTCTTCCATGTCATGATTTTCATGTTTGGATGTGTCGTTTGCCTTCGTGATATATTCACGTCACGTGACACCAAATTTAGTATATGTGGAGCTAACGAAACGGCCGCGAGCACGCTATAAGCATGGTGTGTTTTCATGTTCTTACATGATGCACGTGCCAGGATGATCATGTTTGAAGCAGTCATGCTGTACCAGTGCTGTACATGACAGGCACGCAATAATTTTCACACCGTGACCTGTCACTTACGTTCAGCATACACTATTGTCACGCCATACCAATTTGATGTACAGAAAGTTAATGAAACAGCCACGGGAGTACATAGATAGATAGATAGATAGATAGATAGATAGATAGATAGATAGATAGATAGATAGATAGATAGATAGATAGATAGATAGATAGATAGATAGATAGATAGATAGATAGATAGATAGATAGATAGATAGATTGATAGATAGATAGATAGATAGATAGATAGATAGATAGATAGATAGATAGATAGATAGATAGATAGATAGATAGATAGATAGATAGATAGATAGATAGATAGATAGATAGATAGATAGATAGATAGATAGATAGATAGATAGATAGATAGATGATGATGATGGATGGATGGATGGATGGATGGATGGATTGGATGGATGGATGGATGGATGGATGGATGGATGGATGGATGGACGGACGGACGGACGGACGGACGGATAGATAGATAGATAGATAGATAAATAGATAGATAGATAGATAGATAGATAGATAGATAGATAGATAGATAGATAGATAGATAGATAGATAGATAGATAGATAGATAGATAGATAGATAGATAGATAGATAGATAGATAGATAGATAGATAGATAGATAGATAGATAGATAGATAGATAGATAGATAGATAGATAGATACGCTCAAAGTGACCCAAGTTCCCTAAGGCTTCGCATTTAAAATATCTGCTGTGTTCTTTTGTAGATTTTCCTACAGAATGGTTCGCGCTCTGCCACGTTTCTCCATAGAAATGCTGGCCGCATTTTGAAACATGTTGATGAGCCGCAGTGCTTTCCCATATTCATTTTACGAACATCGCCTGTAGATAAATTCTCTCGAGCGAATCAGCAACGGCTATCTCTGTACAAAAAAAACATCTCATGCCTCCTTTCAACTTGAAAATATAAAGTGTAATAACTCACATGATCATGGACACCAGCAGGCACAAATACGAAGTCAGGGGAAATTATTTTTTATTGAGCGCAGTATATTCATGCTTGCTAAGTGTACTCCATTTGCACACATTTTCTTATACGAACTGTGACAAGACACACTTAACAGCACAACACATTGAACACACACAGCTCCCTTCAACATATAAATAAAATTCTATAAAACAAACTGAAAACTAAAGTGTAAAAAAACAACCAAATTGCACTAATTGACCCGTCCTTGTTACGCAAGTTTTGGTTCACGATTCGTGCCAACTTTACTTGACCCACCCGATTCGCTGCTTGTCAATGCCAGAGATGTGTCGCGTTGCCTCCCTTTCGATACTTTGGACGCTTTTGAAAAACCTCGCTGTTGTTGAAGCCATTGTTCGTGGTCATCGCGTGATGTCGTTGCTGATGTAATGATGCCTGCAACGTTACGCCTAGTGGCGTTCGGTGACAGCCAATGCTATGAGGTGGCAGGTTCATGGGGGACTGTCAAGGAGAGTAAATCCAACGGTTCAAATACCCCATTTGAACCGTGGGATCTACAGTCCTCCAAATCCCTCTCTTACACACACCCCAAAAATTCTATGGATAGGTCTCCAAACTCGCACTCTTTCTTCCCCTCAGCTGCTGCCCCCTTCTGTAACACTTCCCCAGAATTTTCCCTCTGCGATGAACCTCACGCCACTCTTTCCCACATCCTATTCGGCTGCTGATCCTCCCCCCCCCCCCAGGGACAGCCTGCCATCTCAAGCTAAAGGGACTGGGAGGTCCTGCTCTCGTCTGGGGACCCGGCGTTGCAGCTTTCTGTGGTGACTAGGGCAGCTGATGTCATTGCGGCGAGAGGCATGACCCTGTAGACGTGATGCGGGATTGCGCGGTGGTCCAGGGACCCCGGTAGGTCCAAACACACTTGCTAATAAAGTTTTCTGTCATCCTGTCAGTCGGTGTCTTCCTTCGAAGAGGGTTTATGTCACAACAGCTGTGATTCCTGTGCGCGGTTGCTACATCCGGAGCAGCCTCAATCGAACCAGGTCGAGGTCTCTCTGGCCACCTCTTCGGACGCCCGCGTCACACGCTACCAGTTTTAAGTCGTGCGGCGTCCGTCGCCTGTGCGCTGGCTGGTGGGACAACCCTCTTTTTGCAAGTCTACGTCGACAATTTCCGCTTGTCGCTGCTTCCATACCGATCCCAGCTCGGGTCACGCGCCTCGAACATCACCTTACGGTGATGCATACCTGCATCAATGGTGTGTCCACCATTCATGCAGGTGTGGAAGAACGCTCGCGCCATTTGGAACGCATGTGCCTTGCAGTCTTCTTTCTACTTTCGTACCATGACTCTTAGTCATGACATGTTTAAAAATAATAGACAAGCGCCAAATACTCCTAATATTTCTGCGGTGCTCCGCTCTGATTGTTGCCTTAGCGTGCTGCTATCGCGAATCACGTAAAGTAGCAGAGTCATCGTACCACTCGGCTTGCAGGCAAGTGACTTTCTGCAGATGCAACACGAACAGAAATATGCAGTCTCAAAAGAGAACACGCCTCAAGCAGTGGCGTTTGGGTCTTCCTGCTTGGTCGTCGGTTTGCGCAAGTTTGCCACTGTACCAGCTTTACTACAGTCACATTGTCTAGAACAGAGAAATAAGAAGCGATAATTCTCGGTTTTATACGGTAAGCGCATTCATAAATTTAAATAGGGACCAGATGGAGACAGCTGCAGGGAGACGTTCCGATTGGCAGCGAGGAAATGTTTTATGGAAGGAGCCATGGTAAATTGAGCGAAACCGGGGAGTGCAGAAAGCCCCGCCGCGGTAGTCTAGTGGCTGAGGTACTCGGCTACTTCAATAGCGCTACAATCTTTTTCTGGCTGTCAATATTGCACCACATGTATTTTCCAAGTGTCAGGCATGACTGGTAAATTACATCGCACGAAGTGCGATAGGTTCATCCAGAGCAAGATCTTAAAGGTATATACGGTGGCGTTGGCTGAAAGCGCCGTTCGTCAAATTATGTCAGAAGTCCACTGTGCCGAAATACACAGATTCTGCGCATTTATTTTTATTGCAACGGTACATCAAGTTGGCAATAGAGGAATTAGCTGGCTCACGTGTGTGATCTTTCGTTTGAACAGCATGACACTTCCATGTTCGACACTGTCAGTCAAACACATCATCATTTGCCTCTAGCGCTGCAGTTGATTGTGTCCCGGACAAAATATGAGTCTATCTCTAAGTAACCTATTCAGGTGTGTCCACCATTGATGCAGGTGTGGAAGAACAGTACCCAGTTTGAGGCCCTTACACCCGAGGAGATGCGCGCTATCCTGGAGGATAGCCGGATGCACGTAACGAGTGAGATGGACGCATTTAACGCCCTTCTTAAGTGGACCTCTGCTGACATGGCCATGAGGAAGAAATACCTCGCGAGGTTCCTCCCTCCAGTTCGCCTCAGATGGTGCAGTGCCACGTGAGTGGCACAAAACACTCATCAACGCTGGTCATCGGCGTATGCATGCATTGGAACGGAGCGCCAGCGAGCATAATATTGCTGAATTACCACGTATCGAAATTCGTCATCACGATTATGGGCGTGTCAGTGTATAGCGGTAATGACTTGGCCTAGATCGACTCTGTCGTCATGTTTGCTTACACACAGATAGTAACTAGGTGCATGCGACCTGATAAGCACATTGTCTTGTACGATATGGTCGTCTCTATAGCATTACTCGGAACGATGCACAGGATATACATCTCGTTTGTAGTATATAATAATCAGAAACCTTCATTTCACAGATTCTTTGTGACCGATGAACATTAGGTTTTGAAGTGCCTTTAGCTTATTTGATTACTTCCGCTGTCTGCGACCAGAGTTCTTGAGCGAGCAGACTTGTATATCAATAGTGGAGAGTCATTTGTACTTGTTGCGAAGCTGGTCGGGGCTGGGTTGGCAGCTACATTATTAGAACGGCACCGAATAACGCTTTGAACGGTGAGAAATGGAGACAGCAGAAAAGCACTTATTGTCTCATTTTCAGTGTGTTTTGCGTGGAGCCATGGTCAGTTTCTTCTTGACGTATGACGCATGCAGTGTCAGACAACGTGGACGCTGTATCTAACGTCATTTACCTCTCGTTACAGAGAGCTCGAAAAGGTTTTGACAAATCCACAAGTCCAAGGTGACAGAGACAGTACAAAGGTGTTGAGCATAATTCACCAGGTCAGCCGTTATTACTCTGCACACCGGGTTTTTCCTTTGTTATCGTGACGTACATGCACGCCTTCATTAGACGTTGTTGTGGTCCGTTGTGTTTTGTGCTATTTTAAGAATGTTGAACAAACTATTTCAAGATTCGACTAAAATGCACTTTTTGATTTTCTTACTTATCTGCGTTTTTCTCTGTCTGAAGCTTGTGAAGTGCAACCGAGCAGTGACCTACAACCTTTCATTTACGCTCAACAGGTGCTCCGGCTCATGCGTATTTAAAAGGCCGTGGTATGCTTGCTTCATGCCGCTAAGCGTAATTTCCGTGAGCCACAATCATGGCGCCTCGGCACATTAGAAGTATACTCAAATTCCAAGTTATTAAATCAATTGTTCGTGTGCAATCATCACATCAAGTATAGAACGTTGGTTGGTAATGATGCAACTCATTCAATAAATCTTACTCTGTTGAAGCGCCATCTTGCGGCGATGAGGTGAATAAAGTGACCAGTCATCTTGATGAGGTGACCAATCATCGAATCCGCGACGGTAGTATGGGCCCTCACACAAAAGGGAACATTGTCCACTTGCAAAGGGTTCAAAGGAAATCGGGACAGTGTGTCTTTTATATGTACAGCTGGTGGACGTCGGTAAGCGCGCTAATGGGGAGGACTGAATTGAAACGCCTGGAGTTGCGGCGTCACACGGAAGGCAAAGGTAGCTAAACAAAATTGCCACCATAAAAAAGGAATATAAGAGGTTAATTTCATTGAACCTGCTCGTAAGCGAATCCCATTCTCTCGTCACTCAAAAAAACTACGTGACTATATAACTGTCGAGCAGATGTATATCACAACACATTTTCCCCACGAATGGCAAGTAAATGAAACGAGCTCCCAGCATATGTCGTGGAACGAAAGATCACAGATTTCATTTGGCACTTCAGGCTTGTTTGATTACTGCGCAAATGCGTTGGTTTACCCAATTTTTGTCTATGTTTACTTGTATATTTCAAGCTATGTGTCTTTTTTTGTTATTTTTATGGTACGTCATTTAGGCATTAAAATAAGTGACTTTTGGAAGGAAAATAGGAAAAAAATAAGCGCAGTTCCGTTACTGCCTCTCTCTCAATGAAGGGCACCTCCTCAGTTCTGGTCAGGGTATGGGGATAGGGGGGATTATTAAAAAGGATAGAAACGAATGAAAGGCATATATAGAGTGAGAGGAGCAGGAAGAGAGAGAGGCACAGGGACAGCCACATACGGAAGTAAGGAGAAGATAAAGAGATGGACTCAGTCGCAGAAGTCCGAGGACCGGGCACCACTCAGCCAGAGCTCTTGTCGTCAGGAGATGAAGTAGGGTGAGCCAGTCGGCCAGAGCTGCGCTGTCGTCGGAGATCGCGGGGGCACAACCGGTCGGCACGAAATTCAGCGAGCGAGTCCCATCAGTCACCTTATATGTTATAAAGCGCATATACTCTTCATTTTATGTGTGTATTACCTGTATTTAGAATATAATGGTTACATTTTAGCCATGTCAATATAACAGATGATATTATTGCTGTTGACGACTACTTAGTGTGGAGCATGCCATGATTGCGTAGTAAGTACGTATTTCTTCACCTTTTTATCCTTACTGCTCCTAACAGCCTTTAAAGCTAGTATTATTCTGAAAATAAATAAAGTATCTACTACTAAGTTGCCCTGTAAGGCAACATGAACATGACAGCAAATTTGCAACAGGTTTTATGCACAATATAAATTTGAAGATTACGCCTTCTTTGTACGTTCAAACGTGAGTAGGTAAGGGTACCGCGAAATGACAGAAATTCTCTGAAGTCCACTCATTCAGACACAAATGTCCCTATTGAGTAACGCACCTTGTCAGGAGATTTTTATCAGAAGCCACTTTTTGTTCTGGCAGACTTCATGCCTTGAGGTATTATGCGAAAGATTATCAGTACGCTGCCAACTGCTAGTAATATCGCGCGCTACGTGACGTCAACAGTCAAGAAGAGTGCTCCACACTCACCGCAATGACAACAGGCGGCGCTGACTGACACGCCCACGTTTAAATGCACATATCTACCCAATATATCGGACGCAGGAATGTCCGCCGCCGTAGCTCAGTGGCACGCCCCTTCAAACTGTAACAAAGGCTAGTTCCTAGTTTTTTTTACTAATTTTGAAACAAGATCCTGTAAAAGTAACTTGTTACAGGTATATTAAAAAAATTGGAACGTGTCCTTGCATGAAGGTACATCTGGTTTTTCAATACATATATAGTTTCGGGTAATGCTGAGGTGAATTCTAGTCAGTAATTTTATGCTTACATTGAGCTACATATATTTCTATGAATTTAACATCGCCCGAGGAGACTATACGCGTGTACAAGGAATCTTAATAAACGTTCCTCGGCGAAGTTAATAGAGGCCACTGCCTCTACTGCAACTTTTGTGCTCGCCTACTTCATGTCACTCGCGTGGCACATCCCACTACGGACTTCAAAGGTGCAGTCAAGGTACTGCGCTTCAAACAGTTAGAGAAATATCCACCAGTGTACGACTATAACTAAGTCTGTTGAACAGGAAACACCCTGAAAAGAGACAATAATCAAGTGTCTAACAAGTTCTGATAGAATATTTCAGAGTGATGTAGAAAATAATATCTAAGATATACATTTTTAGCCTAGTAAGCTATACCTTGCTCGCATTCAGCGAACATAGTATATTTCGTTCTCTGTCATTCTTTTTCTTTCTTCCTTTCATTCATTTTTCTATGATTTTTCTTCTATATTTTATATATAGTGCTTGTTTCTTTTTGTCCATCTGTTTCCTTATCCTTATTGTCCCCTCTCCTTGCTCTCCTGCTCACCCTCACTTCCTATTCGTTCTCCGTTGCTATACTTTACAATACAAGGCTATGCTACGCACTTGTAGCGTGTGCGCGTGTTGCAGAGAAACGCACCGTCAATAATTTACTCAACGTACTACCTCATAAGGATGAACACATAATAATTAGATGGGCATTAAAATAATTGTGGTGTGTAAAGTGCCAAAACCACCATATACCTATAAGAGAAGCCGTACTGAAGGGCTCCGGAAATTTCGACAATCTGGAATTCTTTATTGTGCACCGAAATCTGAGCACACGGACCTCAAGCATTTTCACATTCATTGAAAATGCCGCTGCCACAGCCAGGATTTGATCCCGTGACCTGCGGGTCAGCGGCCGAGTGCCTTAGCCACTAGACCACCGTGGCGGGTACGGTCACTCACCTTATAAGAAGCCAGCCAAAACAATATTTGCATTAGTGAGATATTTTTACCGTCGGGTTATAGTGTATAACTGGTAATGATCGTTGCTTTATGTGTTGACTCTGTGAATGCGAATACTTTACTGCTATATGTTGGTCGTTGAGTCACGATATGAGGGCAAGGAACATATTATTTCTCTATGTGTAATGAGTTGCTGCAAACTGCCAAGCCTATGTTGTATAATTACTATGAATAAAAATAAATGGGTGGACAACCGAGTTATTAGGACGATTCCTTTCGGATCATGGATAGACGGTCCCGAATCCAGCCTCACCGAAATTTTTTTTCGCCGAGAATTTTCTTTTCCTTTTCCCCCATGTATTTGCGCGTTCTATCGTCCATCAGAATTATTGCTTCCGGCGCCGAACAAACCAGGCCACGTGTCTTAGGTATGAAGCAAAAAAGGAAAGATGAAGAGGAAAGTGCGTTCAGGTTTATAATGATAAGTTTGTTTCCAAGATTGTGGCGAGCCTCCAACATAACAGTTCTGCTGTCAAAAATCAGCACCGTTTTTCTCACACGGGGTCAGTCTTGGCGTCTTTCCCAGCCCTGCGTTTCAGTTACCCTGCGCCCACGGCTGGCGCTTCAATTTGAAAATCAAGATGCACCAAAGTCATGCGATAGGTGAGTGGTACATTTTGGCGTCTAACGCGGTTGTCCGTGTATCCTATTCTGGATGATCGCATGCGTGCGTACACCTGTTGAATGCCATAGAACGCTTCCAAAAGGAACGCCATTCCCTCTACCATTCCTTCGTAGATTTAACGAGTTACCGTTGCAGTTCCATCCATCCTAATGTAACAGTGGTGTTCCTCCATAAAATAACTAGTTCCTTGGACGTCTTACTTTGGAACGCCATTCTGTATAAATAGAACATCGTAAGAGTTGTTCGGAGGTTGCAGGGTTGGATTCTGCCAGTGACAAGTTATCTTTTCGTGTACTTTCTTGGCATCATGGTTGATTAGTTCTCAATAATGTTGTGGTAAACAAAGAAAACGAGCCTTTTTTTTCCTGATTCCCTTGCTAATGGAACACATGCTTTCTCCATGCAGTCGCTGACCAGAAACTCTTTGCCGGTTGGCGAAGTGACCGGTATCGACCTGTCCCATAAGATGTGGCTCACGCCTCGGATTCCCAAGCACATACTCTTAGTGTTCGGTGGGTGGACAGACGGCGCCACGAACGTCATGAGCACGTACAATTATCGCGCCGCCAAGTGGCGCGTCATCGGCAACCAGTACACCTCGCCTAGGTAATGTGGCTCCCACTTGTGAGCTTACAGCACAAAGACATTCTGCATTGCGGTACAGGTATACCTGAAGCAACAAAAATGCTTTCATAGTGCACCCATCCGCATAGCCGTAAGAGGGTGCGATATGACTAAGAAAAAGGGCTGGTACTCGATAGATGGTCTCACCCAATTCAATTCCTCACAACAGTAAGCTTCGGCAACTTCCTTGGCTGGCAATATCAGCAGGCTGGTAAGTGGACGCACTCAAATATTAGAGAAACGCGTGTGAATCTGGTCTAAGTGTTGGTAGCAACGAACTTGACAATAATTCCATCCAAACGTTAAGCAAACTTATGTTGGGAATATATCCGTCTTTCGTTGATCGTGAATCAGCGTAGGATAAAATACGTGGAGGGCACAGGAAACAGTCTTTGTTCTGCAATGGACATAACGCATTAAAACGACGATGATAAGAACGAGTGGTGCTGCGGAGGGCTGTTGTACTTCCAATTTTTTTAAATATCCCAGCGCACAGAGTTTGTGTATATCTAAAGAACTCAGATGCACTTGAGTGCCGCTGACCGGCTTTTTTTCACCGTTGCGCCTAAGGTAATGTCGCTGATGGCACGCGCGGCGAGTCATCGCGGATACAACAGCATGCAGGCAATTCCGGTGGATGCACCGCAGGCACTGATTAAGTGCATTGGGGGTCAAAATCGCTCAAATCTTCACGATGATCACTATTAAGGCACGCTACAGCTTTACCCTTGCGCAAGTTTTATAGCGTTATATTGCACACTAGCCGAAACAGCTCACCTTTTGTCCAGGTGCTGTATTGCGTAGCACAATGTAACGCCTGCGCAGGCTTCGTATGACAGACTCTGCTATACAGAGTTACTGAAGCGAGGTATATTAGGTGGGGACTAATTACATCATTGAAACTTTGATGTAACATGTTTCAACCTAAATTCCAACCGAGCGCTACCAGATGCGGTTGTGCATGGGAACGTATACAAGCGCATTATTATATTCAGTACAAACAGTGCTGCTTTCTTAACAGCGGATGCCCTTCAATAGGCACAATCAGCCTACGGTATAGTGTTCACATAGCTGGTAGTTGCCACTGTTTAATCAACTTTAGCCAACATTACTTCGGACAATGGACAGCAGTACGTCAGAACTATACGCAACGTTACTAACCATTACTTTAGGAGGTCGTGAAACGTTTCCCCAAAACTGTCAACTACGTGTGTATTGAGAGTCCTGGCCGTTCATTAAAAGCAATACCCCGACTTGTTTGATCGCCTGGCCTCACTAAATAGTTAAAAAGCCCACTTTCGGGCTTTCGTGTGCCTATACCATCGGAGCCCTCACAGTTGACACCTCGAAGCCATGCTGCTCTGTGCTGTGGCTCGCTGGGCAGCTTGTGAAAATGAACGTTGTGTGCACTTCGATAAGTTGCACGGCAGTGTTTGACGACGCACGTGGTTGGCAAAGCAAGAACGAAGTCACCCACAACACGCAGTAGAACAGAACCCGATAAAACTTTTAAGGAAAAACTGAGACACTGCGCAGGCTGCACCGATTGAGCCAAGGCTACCGGTGGGAAGGCAAATATACACACTTGACAGCGTCCAGAGGTGCTAAAAGCGCATCCAATCAGATCCCTCGCTGTAATAGCACAACATACTTCTCGAAGCGCAAAAAACACTCTCTTGTTTTTTTTTTCTTTTCTAGGTTTCTATGAATCTATTACTTCAAAAAAAATTAAGCGAACGCTCTATTTGCTACTTCTCTTGCTATGACGTTTCACTGACGCAACATATTAGTTCCTATAGTGGCCAATGGTCACACATTGTCGATAAAGAACAAAAAAACTGCGGTTTTAAGAGGCGTCATTATTGTGCCGAAATCTTTCGGAATCGGTATGTCTCATCCTTGTTGAAGCAGGAAAAATGGAAACGGTAAAGTTTCGTTCTCATTTCAAGACCCCTTCACGACAGCAGTAGGAAGCGTCAGTGTTGTTTTTGCTCATTCTGTGATAAATTTCAGCACTGTTAACAAGTTCACAACTCTAGCTGTCGAAGGCAGGAAGGGACACGAAGTGGACGTTACGATGAGCTCTCGCATGTAACTTGTTGCAGGAAAGGAACATTGGTATTGAAGTGGTAATATACCCATTGTTGGGTCATCCACTCAACGTGCACCGCAGGTCGTACCACGGCGTGGTGGTGATCAACCAGTGCATCTACGTCGTGGGCGGTTTCAACGGCCGTGAGTGCTACCACTCGGTCGTGTGCTACGAGGTACCCCTGGGAAGATGGAGCGCTAAGGCTAACATGACGAATGCGCGCTGCTATGTCAGCGTGGCTTTTCTCGAGGCAAGCAACCGCGACGAAAAGAAACCGTTTTACTATTGAATGAAAGCAGTGCCTTTGTAGACATTTCGTGTACTGCTCAGCTTTAGCCTATCCACGGCTACGTGAGGGCCATTTGTTTATATGCGATACCTATGTGTTTAGTGAAGTTGTCGTGTGCGCCAAACTGAAAGCGCGGGCGCTAGAGCCCCACTTTTTGCTAATACGAAACGATAAGCTTTCTGGAATTTGTGTTGAGTCGGTGTGCGTGTGAATACAATCCAGGTGCGCATTTGTTGCGAGGCCTTTGAAAGGGGCCCGGCAACACTCTCTTAACATCTTTGGAGTACGATGTAGTGCATTGCAGCACTGTGTTCGAACCATGGCAGCAACGCCCTGAAGATGAACCCACTAGTCTGAAACATCCACACTTGCAGAGGGTGCATAGTAGACCATACCTGCGGTGCACTGACAATACAAGACACTTTATTTCAAGGCTACTTGGAGTAATCCGTGGCATTGAAATCATCCGTTAAGACAAGATGTAGCACGTCGGTCCTATAATTCACCCAAAGCGAAAATCAAATGCTAGACACTGATTTCGGTTGTAGCAGAATCAGCCCAGGGTGGAACTCTTCAAAACACCACGCTGAAACAATCCGGTAATTGTTACAAAATAGCGCCACTCCGGAATTTCCCAGTGTGAGAGAGTTCGTTTACGCGTCGCGTACAACACCCTCAAAGCCTTAAAGGCCTCCTCAAGGATAAAATTTGACCATTGGCGTCGGAAACGAGGGGTGCGAAAAAATGACGTCATAACGTCATCATGTCACGTCATACGCTTCACCTAACGTACTTTTGCACTGCCTCTAAGATCAGGGTCAACCCAATCCGATCTTGTAGGCATTACAAAACGTCGGTAGGTGCAGAAAGCTATCGAACCGTGGCAGTGCATGACCAGTAAGTACATCGACTGACAAGAAAAGGACGATGGCTTTCATCTTCGAACCTCCTTTGTGGGGTTTCTGACACTCCTGTAAAGTTGCTTGCGCCGCGGGACGCATTTGTCTCGCACGTCGGCCGCATTTAGGGAGTCGCAAATATTGAGGGGCAGATGGCGTTGTGTCCGCGAGCGTTTATCAATGCAACCATTATCATCATATGGTTATAACGGTGGCGTCAGCAGTGGCGCCTGGCTTTAAGCCATGGCGGCGATACGGGAAATATTAGCGGCTGTTTTTGGTGGGTGGTGGTTGGTGCGAAGGGTTGCCTCTAGCAGTGCGTCTGCGTTGGACGGCGCCGCGAGTCTCCTGCCGTAGGCCCTGGCGATGAGCCAAGCGTTGTCGAAGCCGCCTTGTGTATGTTCTTGTGCTCGTTACATTGTTTGGTGCTGTGTAATTTTGTGTAAGGCTGTTTTAGCGTTTGATCACAATTGATGTTATAATAAGGCAGCTGACGGCATTGTCGTTCTAAAAGTAGGTAAATAAGTGTGTGTTGGTTTGGTTTTGTTTGTTCCGACTGCATCTACTGTGTCCGTTCAGTCCAAGAACGTGGTGTCCTCGACTTCAGAGCCCACACCTTAAATCAGTGCATAAGGTACCCTCTGAGCTTTAAGGGGGCCCTGCAAAACTCTTCAAGCATAGTCTCAAAATGCTGCCGATCGGCAACAACAACACGCGAGCCAAAAAATATAGCGCAGAATGTGGCCTGGAATTCACAATAAATTATCAAAGTCAGCTAAAAATTGTTTTCTCTTCTCTGGACAAATCACGCAATAAGCCTAAAGATCACTCGTAGTGAGCCCACCTATCAGCCATTGGCTGATTTGAACATGGCGTACTTGGTGGTTACAGAGATCTCCACGGGAGGCCGTCATTTGTCGACGCGTGCGCGCGTGATTGCACTGAGAAAGCCACGTATCCGGAAAAAAATGAAAATTTCTCAAGGTCACAACGCGCACGTGATGTTTTTTGTTAGCCCCTCCCACACCTCTTTGTTCAGCTTCCAACGCTTTCGACGGGACGAGAGAAGAGCGAATGCGATTGCAATGTGTGACAAATCTTTGTAACTTCGCTCGTACTAGTCGGATTCTTAAAACTTTTGCGGCATTGAATTTGTGAGACAATAAGCTTTTCCGGTGTATTATTTGCAAGACTACACAAAAAAAAAGTGTTTCAGGGCCCCTTTATTAATAATACTCCACGAAGGGGGAGAATTCGTTTCACAGAAAGCCTAAGAGCACTCTCCTGTCGCCGAAGTACAAAGTCGAAGGAGCCCACTGTGTCTTTCTATATATAGAGTTGGGTAATGGCATAATTTTTAAAAATGAGGTGGCTGGTCACTTTGTTTAGTGATTCCTGAAAAGCTGCGTAATTTGGCTATATAGAGCTTTTTTCAACGGCAACTACACACCAAGCGTTAAGAAGAATGTGTCCAAACTCCTCAAAAATTAGGAATCCGCAACGACCATAGGCAACATCTGGGACCATGATTACTAGAGGTAAATGAATTACCGTTTCAGTTAAAGAGGTTAGGTGGTTATGTATAACAATTGAAGTTCGTGCGAGGAAGCCATCGCAGCTTTGAAGAATAGGAGAAGCGGATTCTAGTGATAATTGGCCGTAATTAAATTCAACCGTGTTCAACGGGGAAACCGAAGCCGAAGCACCGACGAGTGCAGGAATCAGACAATCAGAATTACGTCATTCTTCAAGACAACGATTACAGAGGAGGAGAACTTCCGTGTTGTTCACTACGCGTGCTATGAATGCAAGGGCAGTACGCCCACAGACACGACGAAATCAGTTGATGGCCAATGTAACAACGCTCACACAGTTTGGATGCTTCAGCGAAATGTGGCAGTTGCATTCTTCCCCGTATCGGTCTCAGTTTTGTCGCTGAATTCCGGTGAGTATCAATACTTCACAATGATGACTAGGTGCCACTTTTTGACGCCTGAAATCTGCTACAGGTTCTTGGCATGAAGTACTTCTGTTACCATTAGACATAACGGCCTATTGCCACTATTTTAGAAAATATTCAACTTTCTTGATCGCTGTCCCTAATAATGTAATTGAGTTTTTTTTATATGTCTGCAGCTCCAGATTTCCTAACTGTGAAAGCTTTGAAGGAATATCAAGTGAAGATGATTTTCAACACTTCTAGACACATTTCTTGAAACCCATGCAGTAGGCAATGGCTCTCCAACAGAAAGAACAGGAAATGTTTCTTTTATTTAGAGTGTACTGGTTGATTTTATAATCACCAAAAACTTGCTCAGCAATATTTATTTCGTTCGACGTGTATTATGCGATGTACAATTGGGCTGGAACTCTGCGATTATTCACACTCTTCACCTAACAAGACGGCGTCGCCTTGCCGCAGGGGCACATCTACGCCATGGGTGGCTACGATGGCACCTGGCGTATCAAAACGGCGGAGCGCTATGACGTCAAGAAAAATAACTGGACCGAGATTGCCAACATGCATGAAACCCGCAGCGATGCCAGCGCCGCCACCGCTTGTGGACGCGTCTACATGTGAGAGCTTGAATTTATAAAGAACGATCGCTTCCCTGTTTTTTTTTTCTTGCCATCTAATTGTGCTCGATATTTCCAGCGGCGCGACTTCTATCATACGGGAAAGCGCAAAGATTCCTAGTTCCAATGCAAATCACGGAATCAGTTGTCCGCATGCGATTAGCATACTTCTAACCACCTGCCTCCAAAAACGCGTTTTGAAACATACTGTTTGCTGTCCAACAAACGGTGCTCCGACACAGCGGAGCATTTCAGCGCAGCACAGCCCGGAGGAAACTGCACCACATATTAACCAATGTTTTTGTCACCATGATTGCATCAAGTCGCCCCCCCCCCCTTTTTTTTATGATGACCCTAACCAAAATGCAGCAGCTACATTTTATGCCCAAAGTGCGCGATTGGGGCGGTTGGTGATTCATGAATGATCTACATTTTACACCACCTTTTAAAGCACTGTCACGTTGTTTATTGTTTAGTTATTTATTTAAATATTATTTTTACCTACTGCAGCCATAATGAGGGTATGCAAGAGTGGAAAAAACAACAAGAACAAATCAACATTCATCAACAGGCTTCTAGAAATTCTTGAAGTGGTAGAGAATGAACACTTCCGGGCAGCGAATTTCAGACTTCCATAGTTGAAGGGGGAAAGCTGTATTTGAATATGTCAGTGTGGGCAAAAAAGTTGCAATGTTAAGGGCATGGTCACTCCTCGTATAGGAAGATCTGGAAAAATTTCAGATATGATTCGAGAGTGCTGAAGCGAAAAGAATTGGTTAAAATGGGCAGAAATTTTGGGCATTCAGCAAGGCAATGTTTCGCAAGTCTAGTGAGACCTATAGCTCGGGAAATGAATTTGTTGCTGAAAAATTCATGTCATATATCTTGCAAAGCCCACAGCTATTTTTTTTAGAACGGCTCCTTGATGTCACATTTTTTTTGGTGGTTCCAAACCACAATATCATGAGGGTTAGAACCCCCAAAAGGGTTCCAACCTTTGTTATGGTAGCCTAAGTACTTGTAATCCCAGTGAGGAATTTCAGCGTCATATGGCTGTTGTCATTGAATGCCCCTTCAGTGGTGCAAACTTTTTACTACATTTACGCTGATGTATCGATTATTAGTAAACGGTTGACTTGCATACGATTGATATTGTAGGCGATTTTGATTGAGCCATGCGTTATCGCTGTATGGTAGATTATTTGCCTTTATTACCTTTTTGAAGCATCCTTTGTGTCAATCTGTGTTCGGTTCTAGGTATCGTGTCTCTGACAGTAGCCGCCACGATGGTGCAGCCATTGCGATGCTCGTAATGGTCGTTACCAGAACCGTAACTTGGTTCACCGTCGTTACGGTGGACCAATTGTTGCTGGTTCAATCCTGGCAGTGGTGGTAGGATTTTGATGAAGGTTGAATCAGTTCCAGAGGCTGGCGCGCTTTTTGATTTAGGTAAAAAAAAAACTCAGGTGTCGAAAATCGCCGGAGTCAGCATTAAGGCGCGCTCCTTGATAATACCGAGGTTTTGGAACGTAAAACATCAGATATATTTCATTAGGTACCCCTTCCAGTGTAATAAGTGCCCAACGTTGTCTTCAGCATATTTTAATGAGGTTCTAGAGTATGCACGGCCACCCATCTAACTTAGTAGCACATTCAACAGGAGTGCCTTAAAGGCTTCTCGCTTTCCCTCTAACACTGTCTGTTGTCGGGATCCTATCTGGCTGGCTCCGGTGGCTTAAGGCAGTGACGTTTCAAGGAACGGAGCCAGGATTGCTCTAAGTGTTGATGAGCCACCTTTCATGTTATTTTAAGAGTAAGACTCTATCGCTGTTTACAAACACAGGTGCTGGATGGCTTGCGGTTCTCTGTGCCAGCGTAGCCTAACTAGTCTTGTTGAAGAACGGAAGCCTAAAGAAGTAGCCAGTTCATTTTCAAAAGTTTTTTTTCCTGTATCTACTCAAGTATTTCATATACACTTTTTTAAATAGATACAACATTATAAGAGTTGGTCCTTAGCTTTGAGCGCCTCCCCTTTTGTCTGACAGTGAAAAAAAAAGTCTTCCCTTCCTCAAGCACAACTTAAAACACACGATTCCTGTTTCGGTGTTAGAAAGTAATAAATGAAGTCACCGAAAGTTTCTTGGGTAGTAACACGTGCTGCTGCTATCGCTATGTTGAAACCGATAAAAGAGGTGAATACTAGACACGAGTATGGGCAGAAAAACGCGCCTGGTGTGTTACAACCTGGCTGAAACTGCGGCATACATATGCTGTCTTATTCCTTCCTGTGCGCGAAGTCCCGATAAAAAAAGCACCCTGTCGGGCCACCCAAGTTCAAACACAAGCGATCTTATGGACCTCAGCGCGTTCTCTCGTTTTTTCACTTCAAAACAACTGCTCAAACTTGTTCCAAAGTGAAGTCAAACATCAAAATCAATGCCACTAGCACTTATTAGGCTTAGCTCTAAAAGATTTGGGATTCTACTTTCTAGACATCAGTTACGCGCACACTTACTAAAGCACAAATGTAACAAGTCTGGCCGCCAGTGCCCGGGTTACCGTGTACGGATCCAAAGCGGCGCCAGCGAAAAAAAAGAAATCACTTTGCACGCATTGGTCGAGCTCTTTTTCACAGCACTTAAAGCACTGCTCCTGCCGCCAGAGAACGCTTGCGAAGCAAAAAACGTGACAAGACATGCCGGTGATGCCACAACTGACGTACCCGCACGAGAAAATGATACATTTTGAGGTCTTTTCCTTGGGCTTGTGCAATTTACCCTGTATTAGCACGGCTTCAATGGAACAGACATATGACACAACTATGATGATCGTTTACGTGGTGATGATGGCGCCCATGGTGATGACAGTGACGATGTCAGCGTATACGCTCTCTCGCAGCATGGGCGGCTACACGGGCCTCTCGGTCCTAGATTCCGTGGAGTTTTACGATCCATCCACCAACATCTGGACCCAAGTGCCACCCATGCCTTGGCGACGCAGTGGCCACAAGTTGTTAGCGTACAAGGACATAATCTACATAATTGGCGGCTTCAACGGCGTCGCACGCGTTTCTACCTGTAAGCACCTTTTTTCACTTATTAGGCATTCTGAGAATGCGTACCTGTGTTTCAGGTCACCTTACGACTAGTGCTTGCACACTAGACGTCGGGAAAGCCCAAACTGCAATTTCTTGCTGGAGGATAGTGCCATTTCGTTACAAAGAAATCTTAAAAAGCGTGGCAGTGGCCTTTTCTACACTAATGCGTTGTCAAATCTTGCGTAGCTACTAACTATATCTATAATGAACTTAGGGTCAATGTTTTTGAAATAGTACTCTGGGGAATATGTGAAATCTAATTCTGGGCAATGGAGGAGGTAATGAAGACGACGCGACATGAGCGCATGACACATCGAAGGCCTAGTGAAAAAACATAACAGGCAAATAAATCTGAGTGCCAAAGCTCAAGCATGAGAATGAGGCAAACTCACAGAAAAGCTGCATGGCTGGCATGTGAAATCGAAGCCTTAATTAGGTAACGTTGCTGGAAGGTCATTGCCCTCGACATATCAAACTAGACGTCTTCGCTTCGTGCTCCAAGAACTGAAGTCACACCATAAAGTCATACCAACCAATTCTCATAGCAGCTTTACTTCCGAAAAAAAAGGTGTCTGTGATGATGAGTGATAAATTTTTGGTTCAGTAGTTGAAACGTAAATTTATGACTATGCACACTTATTATTAATGACATTGCTTTTATTTAGCAAGCGATGAATTGTGATGTAATTGAAATACACTACCAAAACATCGTTCATAATGTAACACTACTATTTTTGCACAATTTTGCGATCATTTTTCGGCGCATATTTCAGCAATATATTAATGAGGCTTCGCTGATACGGCTGGCACACTATATAGTAGAATCACGAAGATGCAATCTTGCATAGTACGCTTTTGGTCTATATTGAGTTTCCCTTTTTACTCCCGCTCAGTGCACCTCAGAAATGAATCATTTTCAATTGTTTACTAGGACCTCAGTTTTGCACATATTTGAACAACACAACTGTGAAATGGGATCTCGACCAACATATATGCAGAAACCCTTCATTTATTGTTTGGTATATTAAGCTGTAACCGCGTCCTAGCAAGCCACGACCTGCATGTTGCAGAGATGCTGAGCAATCCATAGTGTTGCTTTTGCGGCGGAAATGTCGCTGCTAGGCATGGCCGCTGGGTCCAGTGACGATTAGGATGCGTCAGACGATGCCACGCGCTCTCTTGCGAAACGTAACTGGAGAATCGTGCTGGTCTCGATGCGAGCCGTGCAAGAAATCACTGGGTGGTACTGCCAGTAAACTCTTGTCTTGGAGAATGCTGCCAGTTGCGCACGATGGTGGCTGCCATGATGACTCATTAAAAGCTCTGAAGACCTTCTGGCCAAGACGCTCAACGACAAACGGTGCTTTCAAACGCACTTGGTAGCTTTGTCGCTAATGCTGAGCGAGCAAACGGCAGCGCCATCAATACTCTTTTTTTTTTACTTTTCTGAAGTATTTACTCCTAGACGTTGAAAAGAAGCGAGTGCAACGCAAATTGACCATACTTTGATGTCGCCTAATAAAAGTATCTTGCTGATGAAGTATGCATATTCTTCCTCGTTTTTTAAGTCTTCTTTTCGTGAATGCGATATTTGCATGATAGGTTTCGCTTTCTGGTTCTCATGACAAACGCATCGACGATATTACACTGTCTTGATCAACAGCTGCTATACGGAAGCAACCTATCTTAAGACGTGTCCAGTTCACGCCTGTAGGAAGAAAGCACGCGTACTTTTTGAACAAGCGGTCGAGCCATTCTATATTGAAGTGTGCACTGACACTTCCAGTGTTATGAAACGCTTTTTTCGTCTTAAAGGTAAGACTAGGCGCTTTCTTCAGGCGTCTTATTGAGCCTTCTTGATTCGCGCGTTGCAGTGCAGCAGTTCGACCCGCAAAAAATAAATACATCCAGCTGCCCAACATTCCCAACCCCAAAAGCAACTTCACCGCAGCAATCCTGGAAGGCGCTATATATCTACGTCATCAGGGGCTTCAATGGTAAGACTGCTGAACGAATCCGTAGGATGGCCTGTTTATATTAGATAACACTCGTAAACGTCAAGCTCTAGTGGACACTTTATCTTCGTCATATGGAGAGGAAGTTCCGGTGACTGCCTCTGAGGTAATGAAATCATCAATTCGTGCACCATCATGATTTCGATTTATATAATTCTTTATTCCTCATCCTCTGATCGGGTCGCCCGCGCGGCGCCTACTACAGCTACATCGACAACGACGACGACGGCGCCGTGTAAAATGAAGCTGCTTTGACGTAGTGACCCATGTCAGAAAGGCAGTATACTAAATGCGTAATCTTCATCACACCAAAGGAAAAAATCACATCATATCCACGGAAAGCATGATGATGAGTGGGGCGAAGCGTCAACTCGTGATTTCCTTCTCGCTTCCGTCGGTCCGTGCGTCCATCTGTGTGACCGTTCGTGCGTCCATCCGTCCATCTGTGCGTCCGTTTGTGCGTCCGTCCGTTTGTGCATCCGTCCATGCGTCCATTCATGAGCGCGTCCATCGGTGCGTCCGTCCGTGCATCCATTCATCCGTCCATCTATTCATTCGTGCGTCCGCCCATTCGTCCATCTATCCGTGCGTTCGTCCGTGCATCTAGTGAACACTCCAAGTACCGTCATTTCACATCTTTTCATCGTATATTCAGCATATAAAAGTACTGCCATCCTGCGGACATTTCAAGGAGCAAATGAGAAGTGGCACTGGCGCACTTTCTTACGGCCTGCGCTTCGTGTCTACGTCCCACCTTTCCCCGCCTCTAGTTTATGGATATGTACTAGTTCACTATACTCATGATACTGTGGCCCAACCCTCGCCAAACCTTGCTAAAATCAAGTACGTTCCGCTCAGCGAGCTTAACGTGGCAACCCTTTTTGGTCAGATAGTGCTGATGGTGCGTCCTTCTGATATTGTTTTTTTTTCTGTAAAGCTCAAATTCAAGGCCAATTTTATTTAACAAATACTTGTCTCTGTAAGTTGTCCCATCAGAAATAATGTTACGGGTAACGTATTTAATAAATTCAATACGATGCACTGTGCTCGGCGAACAAGATGGCGACAGTTCATCAACAACCAGCCACCAACGTCGTCTTTCTCTTTCTTCCAGACAGGCTGTGCCGGCGGTTGCGTATCATAACCCCCCGGCGGTAGAAGCACCGTCTCGGTGCTTTAGCAACTCGGATGCGGTAGAAGGAGGGTGATGGGGCTTGAGTCGAGCTATGTGCACGATGTCACTTGAAGGTGACGATGATGACGTTGAATCGGCTGGAACGATCTCGTATGTAACGTCAGTCACCTGGCGAACGACGTGGTATGGTCCAGTGTAGCGTGACAGCAGTTTTTCAGAAAGCCCTACACGCCGAGGGGGAGACCAGAGGAGGACAAGGGAACCTGGTGAAAAGTGCGCGTTTCGATGATGGGAATCGTAGAGCTAGCTGTCTTTGCCGCTCCTGTGAAGCCTGCAGGCGGCTGCGGGCGAGTTGGCGTGCGTGGTCGGCTCGCGCGATGGCTTCGCCGGCATACTCCGTGACCGAGGGCAGCAAGGTGTCAAATTCTAGGGCGGGTTCTCGGCCGTATAGAAGATAGAATGGTGACAAGCCGGCAGTGTCGTGACGTGACGAATTATATGCGAACGTCACAAATGGCAAATGAACGTCCCAGTCCTTGTGGTCGGCCGCTACGTATTTAGAAAGCATGTCGGTTATGGTGCGGTTGAGGCGCTCCGTAAGACCGTTCGTTTGCGGATGGTACGAAGTGGCAAACTTGTGCTTGGCAGAGCAAGAGCGCAGGATTTCTTCAACGACAGCTGATAGGAAGGTGCGGCCCCGGTCAGTGAGAAGTTGGCGTGGAGCTCCATGTACTAAAATAATATCATATACCAGAAAGTCCGCCACATCGGTTGCGCAACTCGTCGGAATTGCTCGTGTGATAGCGTACCGTGTCGCATAGTCAGTGGCGACAGCGATCCATTTGTTGCCTGAGCTGGAGATCGGGAATGGGCCAAGCAGGTCGAGGCCAACTCGAAAAAAAGGTTCAAAGGGAATGTCGATCGGCTGAAGGAATCCAGCTGGTAGCGAAGATGGCTTTTTGCGGCGCTGGCAGGGTTCATAAGCGGCGACGTAGCGTCGAACAGAGCGGGCAAGACCAGGCCAAAAGAAACGACGACGTACACGGTCGTATGTGAGAGAGACACCCAAGTGGCCCGCCGAAGGAGCGTCATGAAGTTGGTTGAGAACAGTCGCACGAAGATGTGCTGGTATTACGGGGAGCAAGCCATGGCCATATGGATTGAGGTTACGGCGATACAAGATGCCGTCTTTTACCAGGAACATTTGTAGAGATGCGTCGCGAGGCCTTGACTCAAGCTTGCCAATGATGGTTCGCAGGGAAGCATCCAGGCGTTGTTCGTGGCCAAGGTTGAGTAGCTGCATCACAGACAGAAGGTCTGGAAAGGTGTCAGTATGGGCAGCCTCTTCCACAGGGTAGTGTGATAAGCAATCAGCATCTTGGTGTGACCGCCCTGTTTTGTACGTTACGGTGAACTTAATCGTAGGGACCAACGAGCGAGGCGTCCGGTGGGATCCTTGAGTGAGGCCAGCCAGCAGAGCGCGTGATGGTCGGTAACTACCCGGAATGGACGCCCGTATAAGTATGGGCGAAGCTTAGCGACTGCCCACACGAGAGCGAGACACTCACGTTCCGTGATTGAATAGTTGCGCTCGGCTGTAGATAGCAGGCGGCTTGCATATGCTATAACACGGTCATGTCCGCGTTGGTGTTGCATTAGCATTGCTCCGATGCCATGCCCACTAGCGTCAGTGTGAACCTCGGTTGGAGCTGATGGATCGAAATGGGCTAAAATCGGCGGTGTTGTAAGGAGCGTCGTGAGCTGGGAAAAAGATGAGGCTTGATCAGCGCCCCAGAAAAACGGGGTGTCCTTCTTCAGGAGGTTTGTGAGTGGGCGTGCAATGATGGCGAAGTCCTTAACAAACCGTCGAAAGTAGGAGCACAAGCCCACAAAACTGCGAACGTCCTTTGTGGACTTCGGAACAGGAAAGTTCGTGACGGTGCGAATTTTCTCGGGATCCGGGTGGACTCCTGCGGCATCGACGATGTGGCCAAGTACGGTTATTTGACGACGAGCAAAGTGGCATTTCGACGAGTTCAGTTGAAGTCCGGCTCGACGAAAATCTTCAAGAATCGCCGATAAACGCTTGAGATGGGAGTCGAATGTGGGCGAGAAAACGATAACGTCGTCTAAATAACATAAGCAGGTTGACCATTTAAACCCTTGGAGCAACGAGTCCATCATTCTTTCGAATGTGGCCGGCGCATTACAGAGACCAAAGGGCATAACTTTGAAGTGATAAAGTCCGTCGGGAGTGACGAATGCGGTCTTCTCACGGTCCATCTCATCCACAGCGATCTGCCAATAGCCAGATCGAAGGTCGATAGTGGAAAAATACGTAGCACCGTAAAGGCAGTCTAAGGCATCGTCGATTCTAGGCAACAGATAAACATCTTTCTTCGTAATTTTGTTGAGATGCCTATAATCTACCCAAAAGCGCCATGTTCCATCCTTCTTTCTGATCAGGACGACAGGAGAAGCCCAGGGGCTACAAGAGGGTTCGATTATGTCTTTTGCAAGCATCTTTTCGACTTCCCGTTGTATGACGGTGCGCTCAGATGCGGAAACACGGTATGAACGTCGGTGAATGGGACTCGCGTCACCAGTATTGATGCGATGAGTAACAACACTCGTTCGGCTTAAAGCCGTGCTGGTGAAGTCGAAAATGTCACTATAGGACTCCAGGACGTGACGAAGGGCTTCCGCTTGATCAAGAGCGAGGTCTGATGGCACCATGTGGTCAACGTCGACGCCCGATGAACGTGATAGAGTTGGTTCATTGTCTGAGGTGCAGCAATCATCCGCTCTGAAGGGTTCAACCGTATGGTCTTGTAGAGCAGTAATTTCGGCCAGGGAGATACCTTGTGGAAGAATTTGGGCAGTGAGGGCGAAATTGACAATAGGAAGGCATGTGCGGTTTTCAACGATTGTCAAAATGGTGTGTGGAACAGCGACGCCATGCGTAAGCATCACGGCATGAATTGGTGCCACCATGTATTCACCGTCAGGTACAGGTGGTGTAGAGAAGAGGTCGATATGTGTGACACAGTTAGGCGGAAGGCGTGCGAAATCAATGCAGCAAAGGCGACTTTGGGGTGGGTCGGTGAGATCAGAAAGTAGAGGCATTTCAAGGTCAAGACAGCCGGCTGAACAATCTATAAGGGCCGAGTGAGCGGTGAGAAAATCCATGCCTAGAATTACTTCATGAGGACAATTTTCTATAACGGTGAAAAGAACAGCAGTGCTTCTATCGGCGATAGTCACACGGGCAGAGCACATGCCGATAATCGCGGCAGTTCCCCCGTCGGCGACTCGAATGGCTCGGTTCAAGGCGGGTGTGACAACTTTCTTTAGGCGGCGACGAAGAGCAGCACTCATTATGGACACATGCGCGCCAGTATCAATCAACGCGCGCACAGGTACATTGTCTAAAGTAACGTTCAACAGATTCCGCGTGGTCGGTAATGTTACACGAGGATTTCTTGCAGAGGTCGTCGTCAATGCAGCTTCACCTCCAGAAGCTGCACTGCCTAGTTTTCCGGTCGGGGGCGCTGCGAATAGGTCGGAGAGGCAGGACGGCGTTGCGGGGGCGAACGAGATTGACGGCGAGCAGGGGATGGCGAGCGGGCGTAGCGAGGTCTCGTCAGAGGTGCGGCAGGATCAGAAGATGTGGTCGGCATAGGGGAACCAAAATCAAATGTTGAGGACGACTGGTGGTCAGAAGTGGCTTGGGTAGGAGGCCCATAGCGAGCCGGCGGAGCCCAGTGATTGCGGCAGTGGCGAGCAATATGACCGACACGTCGGCAGTTGAAGCATATGGGCTTGTCGTCCAGTGTACGCCCTTCGGACAAATTGCGTTGTCGAGAGTAGTTGGAACCATATCGAGGAGCGGATGGACGACGATAAAAAGGCTCGGTAGAGTAGACTGGTTGAATGGGGTGTAGGCCGACGTTCGATAATTCTTGACGAACGACGGCTTGTATCAGTGAGGTAGTGGTCGGTGAAGGATCAGGCGTTGGAAATGGAGTAGCTACTGGTTGGGCTGCCTCGACCTCACGACGAATGATGCGGGTGAGGTTGTCACATCGGGGAACTGGGTGGACGGAGTCATCACACGAGGAAGTAGCAGCTGTGTTCGGCAGGCGCGTGATGCCGTGGGTGACGCGGCGGGCTTTAGCCTGTTCTAGACGGCGGCATTCTGTCAGGATCGTGTCGATGGTCGTGACATTATTAAAAACCAGCAGGTTGAAGACATCGTCAGCAATCCCTTTGAGGACATGGTTAACTTTTTCTTCTTCTGACATGCGCTGATCGACCTTGTTACAAAGCGCCAAGACGTCAAGAATGTATGACACGTACGATTCAGTAGTCGTCTGGGCGCGAGTGGCGAGAGTCTTCTTGGCAGCGAGCTGACGACCAGATGAATCGCCGAAAAGATCACGGATCTTCGATTTGAAAAGATCCCAACTTGTGATTTCGGCTTCGTTGGTTTCGAACCATGTCCGCGGCGTGCCGTCGAGGTAGAACACAACATTGGCCAGCATGAGCGTGGGATCCCAGCGCTGGGTAGCACTGACTCGCTCGTACCGGTGCAGCCAGGAGTCAACGTCGATGGTGCCGTCAGCGGAGAAAGTTCCAGGATCCCGCAGGGGTGGCAGAGTGACGTAGGTTGTCGATTCGGATCGAGAGACCGGTGGGGATGAGGCACTGGCAGTTGAAGTAGCCGAAGAGTCCCCGGTGTTGCGACCGCTGCGCGTCTCCATCGAGGTACGGGAGTCGTACACCTCCACCAATAATGTTACGGGTGACGTATTTAATAAATTGAATACGATGCACTGTGCTCGGCGAACAAGATGGCGACAGTTCATCAACAACCAGCCACCAACGTCGTCTTTCTCTTTCTTCCAGACAGGCTGTGCCGGCGGTTGCGTATCAATATGACGTTCTGCGCAAGAAGATAAGTGTTGCGTGATATAAGGCACCATCTGGCGTGAAGAAACGAATGTTTTTTTTTAGAACTGAGAGCTACTGATCGGTGACAGCACCGTGCCGCTTAAGCGAAGCTTAGAAAACATCCGCTTTTTCGTTGATAGGGTCAGAATATGAGTGCAGCGTAATATACATTGTGGTCGTTACGTATCTATTCATTTTTCTAAATAAAGAAACACATACTTTTGTATTGCTGTTGCGTCTATATTACGCATAATATTTACTTTTTGAATCTTCAGAAGTGTTAACGCAGCTACCAGATTATTATGGATGGACTTTCAGCATGGGGCTAAACTTGACCGGGTTGCTGAATCGCTAGGCCGACGCCAACAGACAGACAGATCACAATTTTCGCATGGGGTAGTCCCACAAAGACGACAGTTTTAAACGTTGAGGACTCAAACGTCTATCCCAGCAATACTTGATGCCTACAGCTCTGTGGCTGATGATTCTGGCTACTTCTTGACCATTGCAGCAGAGGCAGGGACGAATATCTCTTGAGTCTCTGCGAGAGCGGAATGCCGTACCTGGCGGACGCTTCACTACATTGCTCAAGATAAGAGTGGAGCCACGATAAGGCATGACGATATCTTCATCATGTGTCGAATTTGAACGCTCGCGTCTACATGCCCATGCGAGACGTTGAAGCCTGGCTGGGAGCGCCAGCTTACTGCCGAAGAATGCACAAAGCCACTACAACGCAGGGAAGTGTATCGCTACCCTAAGATGCGTGACATAACTCAGTGCAATGAGTAGGGCCTTTGCATTTACAAATCATGAGAGTTGAGTTGCCTGCATTATTTTGGTTCATCATTATTTTCTCTGATTGGAGTACCGCTTCCCCCAATGGGCCAATTTGAGGACGTGCGCATTGCAGCTTAGCACCGTGATATCATTCCAATAGATGGGTGTCAGCAAGGGAGTACAAAAGGGCACCTGCCCTTCTAGGTGGCATTGATTTGCCCCCTCGAGCCTGACCAGCACTTGTCCTAACTGAAGCTACAGCAGTGCCTTCCCCTGGTCGCGATGCAGCACTGGTTTGAGCCCCCCTCCCCCGCCATGAAAAAGCCCAGCTGACGACCATGGCTCGAGGGCTTTCCTTATCAGCCAGCAATAATTAGCGCGCTACTGCTGGTGCCACTCTATTGCGTCCCTTAAATTTCACTGCAGGGGCCCCACTAAGGCCTTCATCACTGAAATGGATCGTTGTTCCCCATTTTGACATTTAGTGATCACCTGTGAAGCATCATTAGCCGAACATTTCGGGTGGGTAGGAGATTGGGATTAAAATAGACGAGGTTCTCATCGCGCAACGTAGTTCTACATTTTAGATCTTTGTACATGATGGCTAGACAAACACGCGCGTTTCATTTTGGTAACAATTCAACATTTTCGGATGCTCAAAACCTCATCAAGACTGACTCACAGATAGTGCAAACAATGGTCACTTCCGGTTTGTCACATCTCTACGTCTTTTTGTAAAGTTTTGCGTTACCCAAAATGTTGCGTTATGGCTTGCTTCACAGTGTACTTGATCAGTGGACCTTCGACGCAACGTAACCCAGCACGAAAGATTAGATTGCGATCAATTACCTTAACAGGGCCACGTAATTAATAAAACAATGTTGAATGGGCACTAAAGACAACTATAGAGGTCCATAAACCTCGTAGTGTTACAATTGTGCTTATTTTGAAATAAAATCATAGTTTAGTGCTTCGCATTGCGTTAGCACACTTCAAATTAGCCGTCTTGAGCAAAACCTTCACGTCACTGTTGCCATGCACAACGTTGCCCTGCTTTACTGCGATGCCGCTGACACTAGTAGCAACAGAAGGAAAGCTTTGAGAGCCACAGCAGCAACAACGGCCATTCAACAATTTCCTGCCATTGACTGACTCCAAGATGGCAGACGTGCTTGGTTCATCTGGACCCCACTAGGCGGCATGACCTGTATAATTCAACCAGGCGAAACTTGACATTATGAACCACTCCCGCCATTCCCCATACAAACGTCTGGGGTTTATTTTTTGCATAAAATAAACAAACAAACAAGCAGCAATTTATTACGTGTCTTGATGCACGAAAGGTTCATTATTTAGTGCAGCTGGTTTGATTGCTAGTGAATGTTTGTAGGCTGTCTCCGACGTAAACGGGATCATTTTGCTAATGCCATACTGCTGCGCGTGTGTCCTTGTGCATTTACCCTAATGTTTACCTTAATTTGAAGGTAAATAGGGCACTGCTGTTGATAATGTTGTCGTTTTAGATGATGTCATGCATTGCGCTTTCACTCTCACGTAAAGTCCTATTCACTTTAGTGTTCCTTTAAGCGCGGTGCTAACCGTTTAAACGTCAAGGTTTTGAGCGTGAAGCTGCCGTTAATAAAATATGACTTACGTACGTTCGCTGTCTGAAATGAATATATTAAAACATGGTAGCCAAATAATGCTCAGCTTAAATAACTTATGCATAGTGGTAATTAACAATTTCATTTTGCCCTTAAACATGCTATTTTAACTTGAGATCAGGCCCTGCACTCATAAAAACTTACTAAGCCAGGAAGGTTCGTGTGACAATATTTCTTACAGTCGCAATGCGGAACCAGGGGGTAAACGCACGTGTGATAGAGAATGTCTGTGAATTCGGTCCATGGTTAAAGTGAGGGTCACTGGTGGCAGCAGCCAAGCTGGGGCTTAAATCATGTCTTGCCCAAGTTCAGTGAATATTCTTATTCCAGTCTAAGTGAAGTAAGGGCTCCTTTAATAACATGCAAGTCCTTGCGTAATTCACATTGCGGGCCTTTGCTTTGGCTCTGTATTATTACCGTACCTGATCACATGTGCACTTCTCCGTTAATCGCGATTGTCAAACTCACAATGCCAAAACGACAAGAAATCCTGCCGATAAACTAGAGCTCACTCATAGGTACCACGACAAAGAAAAAGCAGTAGTAAAAGGTAGACAATGAGCTTCAGGGATGACGTTTGCAAGCTCGCTGGAATAACTCGGATTCGTCCGGTGAAATGCAGGGTTTTTTAGGGATTACACCAGCTGATAATATTAATATGGCGTAGTGGAGGGCTCGGCTCATTCTTAACATCTGGAGTTTTTTAACGTGCACTTACATTGCACAGTACACGGCGCTCTACCATTTCGGCTCCACCTTCGGCACACCTTCTGACAATCACATTTGTCTCTCTACCCACCCCCCACCCTAACAGGAACGACGACCGTGTCACTCGTGGAGAGGTATGACATCGAATCCCGCAAATGGTTCATGGTGCCTGAGATGCCCACCAGAATGAGTGCATGCTCAGCGGCCGTCATTGAGGATGTCGCCAACCCCGGTAAGTATTGTCAACTTCACAGCCTGTAATCGCCGTCATTATTGTTGAGACCTATAGGGGTTACCTAATAACGAACAGATCCGCATGCACGAAACTGCGTGACTTTGGATCGCACCACGCGCTCCAAACACCTCCAATGAAGTGCGACCACCCCGTTCGCAACCATCATGGTGGTTGGCTAAATCGTGTGATTTACGTATTGTGCTTTTTTTTTCTTCCCTGCAGACGCCTGGATATAGACATCCACTGTTATCGCCTGTGCGGAGCGAACGAGCACGCTGATGTCGGACGGCCAGCCAAGGGTTGACTATCGTCTTAAAAAGAACGCAAGCTGCTGTTGGTCGACGAGCCAAAAGCGAATGAAGAATGGCGCTGGAAAGGCGCCGAATAAATTTTAAAAAAAACGAATAATAAAATTGCACACACAATCTCCGGGAGTCACTGAAATGATGCATAGGTGTTTATTATAGTGAGCAGAAATGCAATTGAACATTTTTAAAACGTGGAGACGTGGTTGTAAAACTATCCATGAGAATGAATGAATGAATGAACAACTTTATTTATCCCTTGTTAAAGGGAAGGGGGCAACAGGAAAGGGTGTGGTGGGGATGAACTACTTGAAGTAGTCCTCCTCTACCCTCTCAGCCCACTCCAGGATGGCCTCCTGGATAGCGGGCCTCGAGCTGCGCAAGGCAGCCTCCCACTGCTCCTCACTAGAAATTAGGCGTTTCAGGAATGGGGGAAGAGGGTGCTTAGGGCAGCGCCACATGATGTGGTTCAAGTCTGCTGTGGAGGAGGCACAAAATTTACATGAGGGGGAAGGATAACAGGATGGATGAATGCGGTGTAGGAGGTAAGGCGAAAGAAAGGTGCGAGTCTGCAGCTGTCGCCACAGAATTTCGCACCTGCGTGAAGATTTGCGCGTGAGTGGCGGGAAGGTTAATCGCTCTAAACGGTAGTGTGTGCAAATATCGTGGAATGAAATAAGGCGATCCCGCGCTGTAAATGGCGCCTCATTCGTAGCGAATTGCGACACATCGGATGCGTGTGCCCGGACTGTGAATCCTCGGGCACTCGCATGAGCCGCCTCGTTTCCGGCAAGGCCCGCATGCGCGGGAGTCCAGATTAGTGCTACAAGTCGATCAAGGGGATGATGCAAAAGTAGGGAAAGGGCTGGCTTAGAAACCCTGCCCGCTCCGAAATTATATATAGCTGTTTTGGAGTCACTGATTATAACGGATGAACTAGGTATTGTCAGGGCCAGGGCTATGGCCGCCTCTTCCGCTTCCTCCGAAGAAGAAGCAAGAACGGAGGCGGCCGCAGCGACCTGGCCGTGAGAGTTGATTACCGATATTGCATAATGATGCCTGTTTCCGTAATCGGCGGCGTCAACATAGAGCACATCATTGGAGGAGGAGAATTGTTTTTTGAGGGCCCTCGCGCGCTGCATCCTGCGCTGTTTCTGGTGCTCAGGGTGCATGTTTTTTGGAAGTGGTGGAATGTATAGGTTCTCGTGTATGTGGTGTGGAATGGTGTACTTGACCTTAGTGATGGATGCCGGAGTGACAGAAAGGGTTTGTAGAATGTGTCGGCCTGTCACGGTGTTAGAAAGTCTGTTATACTGAGATGCAATATGGGCTTCTCCTAGTTCAGCAAGGGTGTTGAAGGTGCCAGTACGCATAAGCCTTTCAGTGGAGGTCCGTATAGGCACCCCTAAAGCGAACTTATACGCTTTGCGTAAAAGGATGTCTATCTGGTCGGATTCTGATTTAAGAAAGTTTAAGAAAGCGTTGTAAAAGTTATTTTACTGATAACGAAGGCTTGGACCAAGCGGAGGAGTTCGGCCTCCTTTAGTCCGCCATGTTTATTACTGACCCGACCCAAAAGTCGCAAGGTATGATCAACGGTGGTGTGAAGTGTCTTTAGTGTGTATGTGTTGAGCCGATTGCTTTGAATGTGTAAACCGAGCACGCGGATCCTATCCACTCGAGTAACTGGTACGTCATCTAGAATTACCTGTATATTGGATATGTGTTTTTCGCCCCCTCTGTGAGATGGTAGGAGAAGTAGCTGAGATTTCTGTGGGGAACATGAAAGATTCATAGACCCTGTAAGTGCCACAACCGTATTTGCCGCAGCTTGCAGGGTGTCTTGAATCTCTCCATCGGAGCCGCCAGTCATCCAAAGAGTGATGTCGTCGGCGTAGAGTGAAAACTTGAGGTCAGGGATAGATCTCAATGCTTGCGGCCAACGGCATCATAGAGACATTAAAAAGAAACGGTGACAGCACAGACCCTTGGGCGTGCCGTAACTTCCCAAAGCGTAAGACTGAGATTGATTCTGCGCCTATGTGTATGGTTGCGGTAACGGTTGGCTAAAAAGTAGCTATATAGTTATATGTCTTTGCGAGGGTCACTGGTTGCAGCAGCCAAGCTGGGGCTTAAATCATGTCTTGCCCAAGTTCAGTGAATATTTTTATTCCAGTCCCGGTCAAGTAAGGGCTCCTTTAATAACATGCAAGTCCTTGCGTAATTCACATTGCGGGCCTTTGCTTTGGCTCTGAATCGTAGGATATTATTAACGTACCTGATCACTTGTGCACTTCTCCGGTAATCGCAACTGTCAAACTCGCAATGCCAAAACGACAAGAAATCCTGCCGATAAACTAGAGCCCACTCATAGGTACCACGACAAAGGAAAAGCAGTAGTAAAAGTTAGACAATGAGCTTCAGGGATGACGTTTGCAAGCTCGCTGGAATAACTCGGATTCGTCCGGTGCAAAACAGGGTTTTTTGGGGATCACACCAGCTGATAATATTAATAATATTAGGGTTATTATGCCCCAGTGGTTATGTAAGATGGCGTAGTGGAGGGCTCGGCTCATTCTTGACATCTAGAGTTCTTTCACGTGCACTTACATCGCACAGTACACGGCGCTCTACCATTTCGGCTCCATCCAAATGTGACCATCGCGCACGCTTAATGACAATCACATTTGTCTTTCTACCCACCCGTCACCCTAACAGGAACGACGACCGTGTCACTCGTGGAGAGGTATGACATCGAATCCCGCAAATGGTTCATAGTGCCCGAGATGCCCACCAGAATCAGTGCATGCTCAGCGGCCGTCATTGAGGATGTCACCAACCCCGGTAAGTATCGTCAACTTCGCAGCCTATAGTCGCCGTCATTCTTGTTGAGACCTATAGGCGTTACCTGATAACGAACAGAGCCGCGTGTACAAAACTGCGCGTCTTTGGATCGCACCACGCACTCCGAAGACCTCCAATCAAGTACGACCCCGTTCGCCACCATCATGGTGGTTGGCTAAACCGTGTGATTTACAGATATTGTGCTTTTTTTCTTCTCTGCAGACGCCTGGATATAGGCATCCACTGTTATCGCCTGTGCGGAGCGAACGACCACGCTGATGTCGGATGGCCAACCAAAGGTTGTCTATCGTCTTAAAAAGAACGCGAGCTGCTGTTGGTCGATGAGACAAAAGCGAATGAAGAATAGCGCTGGAACGGCGCTGAATAAAAAAAACGAATAATAAAATTACACACACAATTTTCTCCGGGAGTCACTGAAATGATGCATAGGTGTTTATTATAGTGAACAAAAACGCCATCGAAAATTTTCAAAACGTGGAGACGTGGTTGTAAAACCATCCATGAGAACATCGTAAGATGACGAACGGGTGACTAAACTCAGTTACAACTTGAGAAAAAAATTTTGGCAGATCCCATGTACTTTAGGAATCTCTCTTATGCGAAGCATGTTTGAGGAATGTGACTGTGTTGTAGTTTACTGAATGAAACGTTACGAAATCATGCTGAAGATGTGTACAAATGTCGTACGCAAATGTCAAGCACTCGCATCTTCGTTGTTGCGCAACGATGCCAACAGCAACATGGGTGTTGAATATTGTGTAGAAGCTCAACAAGCTAACTTGGAATAAATAAAAGAGCGGATTAGAATAGAAGCGAAGGGAAAGATGGGCTCGTCGTATATAGCACTAACACCTAGGCAATGCTTCGTCAATGGTGATCTTGTCGCACAGAAGCTTGATACGTCGACTTCACGACGAATCAAAATGATGTTGAGAGAAGGACGAGCCACCGTCCCCATGGCGAAGCCCCCGTCGACCTCTTCTTTATTCCTATATTCTGATCTGATCTTATCCTAATGATGATAGTGCCACTCGTCGTCTTCTAAACAATACTTTACATCCTCCACGCCCCGACAGTGGTGAGTGACGACGGAGAACACTAACACACAGTTTCTAAGTGCACGCTTTTTTTTTTATTCATGAGTTCTTGCATCAGGTCCGAGTCACTTCATGCAGGTCAGTCACACTGTTTACCGGTGCTCTGTCTCCAAGCGGTGCTTCCGACGTTCGTTCCACTCTCGTATCTTTAAACGTGTCCTACTTGATGGACCTGTGTGGTCCACGAGCAGTTTTCGTTCGTATGAAAATTGATGATGCTGACTTTTCCACGAGGGTCTGCTGGAGCTATTTCTGAGAGGTTTTCTCGAGTTTTTCGCCTTGTCTGAAGTCGCCATAGAATGATCGGTTTTCTTTCTTCGCCTTAATCTGGGCACTCCCGCATTTGAGTTTGATGCTGTCTTGTTAATTTTCCTCCTAAACGAAATAAAACGTATGATCTGCATTTCCTTCAACCCTAACGTGTGCAGATTTGTGGAAGAGCGTAGGCTACTATCAGTATAACGGGCTTCCTTTAACGACCTCGTGGTCTTCCTTCCATTTCTTCTCGAGTCATTAGCTGGCCTTGTTTGGCTATCTGCAGGAAATTGTACGCATTCCTGTGAAGATGTATTAGGATGGCGACCTATCGCCCTCGGCGGGCGCTAATTATCACAATCTGGTGAGTCGTTTTTTAGATTCTCAAATGCTTTTTTTTTATTTTCCTTCATACAGGTCTCTCCCACCAGGTACACCTGAGTAGCTGATGCTATCTTATCGTTCACTTCGCGGGTGCGGCAGGTTGACGAGACTTCTGAAGTCGTAAAAGGAGTTTCTAGCCTCTGAATATCTCTATAGCCTCTACGATACTTCTATAGCTATCTTTCTTGAGTGCTACAATATTGCTTTTCTGATGCCACAGATCCGAACACGAAAGGGTAAGACGAGGAAACCATGAATCAAGTGACTTATTGACACGAATCAAGCAGAAGAACGGGCTTTTTCATAGATTTCTTGCTACTGGGTATGTTCAAAAACTGCGTGAATTCAACATTCCGTAACAAGCTTGTTAAGGAATGTTGTTAACAAGCTTGTTGTTAACAAGCTGTTAACACCAGCTTGTTAACGTAACAGCTGTTGTTACGTTAACACCAGCTGTTGTTACGTAACAAGCTTGTTAACAATGTTGTTAACAAGCTTGGTACGTAAAACTTGTTACGGAATTCACGCAGTGAATTCCGTAACAAGCTGAATGATGACATTAGAAATGCTAAACTTGGCTGTTACGAAGCCGTTGTACCAGCAGAAATACGGAAGCAAGTAAATTCTTTAACTGAAATAACAGTCACATCAAGTACACCTAAACAAGTAAAATATTGTGATGTCATTCTAGAGGGCACAGAATTGGCGGACGCATTCGACCAATACTTTGTAAATTTGGCTGTTAGTGATGAAAAGACAACGCAATATGAAAATGAAGGAAATAAATCAATGAACTCTCTCATACTACTCGAAGATTTACTCTATAAAGTTTACCGATATATGAAATAAATAATGACGACTTCTGTACGTAATGATGTTCTAGGAACTAGATATTTTTGGGAGGAAAAAAGAAATGCCACCGTTCTATTGAAATCCGTGGAACTGTAACGCGTTACGTCTACGACGAAATGCCAGGGAAAACGGCGTTCCTTCTGCAAACGCTCCACAACAAGCAACGGTTGCGCGCACGTATGCAGCACACCACGCAGAACAGGGTGGATGGCCGATCACGTCGAGTACGAAAATGTACCACTCGCCTCTCATAGAACTACGCTGCATCCTGATTTTCACTGCAAGACGCTGCCGGAGATGCAAGGAAGCGGCGAGACCGACCACGTGCGGAAGGGACAATTTGTTTTTTACTGCACAGCTGCTAAGCTTCAAGTTTGCCGTCTGTCGCATAAAGAACATTATCATCATAATGAACAACCCCTCTTCATCTTCACCATCTTCTGCTTGCCCCACCGAGGTGGCCTAGTGACTAAGGTACTCTGCTGCTGACCCTTAGGTCGCGGAATCGAATCCCGGCTGGCGGCTGCATTTTCGATGGAAGCGGAAATGCTGTAGGCCCGTGTGCTCATATTTGGGTGCACCTCAGGTGGTCGCAATTTTCGGAGCTCTCCACTACGACGTCTCTCATAATCATATGGCTGTTTTCGGAAGTCAAGCCTCACATATCATCAACATCCATCTTTTGCTTCGCTCACAGAACACCTGCACTGACTTGACCGGCGGGAGATGAAATAACTGCAATGGCCGAGAGACCGACTGAAATGAGAGCGAAAAGAAGGAACACAAAGAAATAAAAGAAATAAATTCTTGACGAGAAAATGTCTTGTTGGCGTGAGATTTCACACCGCATATCCACGACACGATGGCGCACGTGGTAGCCACTTGGATATCCAGTTTTTTTTTTCCTTAACATCATTTATTCATCATGATCATAACACTTTGAAGGAATTCAATACATACAGAGAATTTATATGTTTACTGTGCTCGTATCGTGGTCCAACGATGAACACTTAGCACTAAAGAGTCACCATTCACCTAAGCGAGTATATCAAATAACAATAATTTTTCAATCATACACTACAACAGTGGCATAGATGTATAAGCACTCCACAAATTCGTTACGATTCACACACTTCATGTGCAACGGCTCAGCTTCAGCTGCTTGGCCCTCTGCCGCTTTCCTCCTTTGTCACTGTTCAGTCCTTTCACATAAAAATGAAAACGTGTGACAACGTAAAAACTAATTACTTTCGCTGTGAGAGTAGCTGCATGCACACTGCAACCAATTTCGATGGAAAGTCTGTGCTGAACAACTGCCAGCATGTCCATAATGCTGTCAGAGTGCAGCTCGCTCTGGCAGAAACAATCTGTGAAGATATCTTCGAGCTTTTTCACAAAGCCGTACAGCTGACTAGAGGGATGGAGGAGGCCTCCTCGGTATCCTCGGTCACAATAGTTTGTTAGCCGAGCAAGCTGAAAACTTTCACCAGGTGAGGTCACGGTGAGCAGCTTGACGCAATCTTGGCATTTTGTTTTAGCATTGACAATGTATTTTCGTGCAACATAGCCCGAAATATGGTAAATGAGCCTGGAGTCGCTTCTGACTACGTGCTGGTTATGGTCACTTGAAGCCTGCGGGCCAGCATTATGCTGGTGTACCATGATTTTTTTTGTTTTCTCTTCAGCTGCAGTGGCAGCAGCAGTTTGACTGCACTCCTCTCTATCAGTTGATGATTCGAGCGAGTCAACTTCCAGCAAGGAGGCCAGGGTACCCTCCTCGCAGTTTCCATTGCTAACAGACCTAACCAGACCATAAAATTAGAGGCAATTCACAGTGATTAGGAACTGTGTTGGAGTCGGGTGATCGTTATTGCCAGAAGCTTGTCTTACAATTCCGAAGAAATTCTCGAGTGGGTCCTGGCTGGTCCTTGATGTCATTAGGTACTTGTATCCAACCTTGGATGTTAAGTAGGCAAGCAACTCTAGAGTGCTTGAAATGGTGACACGCAAGCCGGCTGCTGTGGAGTCACTTAAAAATCCACCAGTTCCTTTGGCATGCCTTTCCCACTGATCAAGGTACGACAGGAAGTCCTTCAGGGTTTCTTCTTTCAAGGAGCCTGGGCGGAGAGCTTCAGCAGCATACCGTGATGTCATCACTGATATCAACTGGCTCACCTTGCTGAAAAAATAGAATAAAACAATATTGCTTGAATCCTTGTTGACATGGCCTCTCGGATTACAGCCACCATCATGCAGTCGGGCAAAAAACTGCAAACTCCTTCATTTTCACTTTAAGGAATGTTTACTAAAAACATTCTATAAGCTGGCTGGCAGGGAGATTGGTTAGTCTGGGGCACGGTGTTGTCTGGGGTGAAGGCCTCGTCAGGAGACATACGGGTCATCTTTTGCCTAAGCTCGAGGACATAATTCACATTGCGTATTTATGTCTAAAATAACGAAGTGAATTGAATTAAATAGCGGTACAGTTACCTGAAGAATTCCTGGGTGGCATTGATGGTTCCAAATATCTTGTCCAGCTCATTCCTGTAGAGGTGGAAAGCCTGGAGGACTCTCGCACCGAACAGTTGAAACACGATGCTCACTCTCATTTTTTCAAAGCCATTTGGATTGAGATGGCACTCGGTGATTCCGGGCATAGCCTTGAGGGTCACATTATTGGCATCAATCCTGTAGGCTTCCCTCGCCGGCCGAATGCTGACCTGGAATATGATTCCAAGACAAAACCAGACATTTGTTGCGATGCGCACTAGTTGCAGCAAAAATGTAAATGAGCCTGCAAAATGTTCGTTGATACCCTCCAGGTTAATTTTCCCCAAATAAATAAAGCCCAACGCACAATGTAAACCCTCCAATGATCGACAAGCAACAGGAAAAGTAACTGCCCTTTAGGCAAATGGTCCCTACTGCAAAACGAATTTTCGAGAGGAATGAACAAATCATATTGCATTGTACTGTTAAACGAATAGCTCGACACTGAAAAACTAGGCAAAATATGCAGTTATTAAAAGAGGCGATACATGTTACACATGCAGAAACTTACATGGCCAGCTGGGGTGTTGAAGCCGCTCTTCAACAGGGAGTTCCGGAGGCATTTGATTAGATGAGGAAAGTCTGAGTTGAAGAACAAGTGCCGCTTTGGGTCAGAAGGGTGCTGGACCTTGCACTTAATCGAACTAGCAGTTGCATGTATTCCCATCATCCTCCACATCTTTCGATTCCAGCTTGCCCCATCAGTTGTTATGAAATCGACAAAGAGCCCACTTTTTTCTGCAAGTATTGTGGCCTCTACAACAACCTTGGCGAGAATATCTGCTTTCATGTTGCCATTCGTTGTGAAGCACCCTATGACCTGACTCCATTTTCCTTGGAATGGAACAAAAAGTACCACCATACCATGGTCAGATGGAGTGCTCTTGTCCTTTTGTATGGTAAATGGGCCCAAGTCTACAAAGCCTTCAATTGTACCACTGCTCCTAACAGACAAGCTCTCAGAAAGTTTCAGCTCATCGATGAGCAATCCCCCGTGCCTCTTGCTGACGTCGAGCTCCGCTGTTTTACTATTCAATTTCTTCAGGATTTTCTCATTGAAGCCAAAAAGTGTACGGTAAACAGATACATAACGTTTCAGAGTTGATTTGCTTGGCAGGGCAAGAATTTTGTTTTTACGCAAGTGTTCGTTCAAGCGGGGACCCTTCATCTTCATTATGATGCAGTCGAGAAGCCAGCTCTCTGTATCGAAGACCATTAGGTTTCACTTTAGCTGCTGCAAAGCAGTGTTTAACAGCTTCTTGCTGATGGGTAGGTAGGCTCCCAATCTGTTCCTGGAGAACATCTGCATTTTTTGCTGCAGCTTGCTGTTGCAGTTTCCCAAGGCTCTCCCTTGTATCAGAGAGACGGGTGGAAAGGCGCTTATTTCTTCTTACTGCTGTTTTAAGTTTCTGGGCAATGTTGAGGCGTGCCTTTGTGTTCCTACGCTGCACTCGGCTTCGGCGTGTCAACAAAGCTCGCCTTAGGTACCGACAGGAGACGCATGGCGTTCCTGAAAAAGACACGAAAGCATGGTAATGCACAGCCTCTTCTACGCTAACAGCGTGATGTGTCATTGTTCAAAAATAAAGAGTGATAATTACCTTCTTTAGGCACCTGGCCTAGGCACTTCCTGCTGAAGTACAGTCCTTGGCGCGTCAACACGTGGTCCCTAAGCTTAGTTGTGAAGAGAGCTTCATCATAGTCCTCGAGCCTCATTGCAACCGCACATAGCTGCATCCGGTCAGTCTTTCGCAACTCGTCCTCGGCCTCCGTTTTTGTATGCACCGGCCCTTCCTTTATCAAAACGCCTCTAGCAAGCACTTTGCAGTATGCGGCACATTGCGACTCTGAAAACATTACCACCTTCTCGGAGAGCACTTCGGCATTAGTGGTCAACGCGGCCGTGCAGTATACAACACCGGCATGGCCAGGGAAACTGTGCTTACTCCAGTATGGTGAAGGCACTTCTAGGTTGAAGTAAAACTGATTCACATTGGCAGATGGTGGAGATGTAGACGCTTGTGGACATTCTTCACAGCCTGCATCAACAGCGTCGTTGGTGTGTGCAAACGGCCCAGACACCGCATTGTCGGAAGGACAGAATGCGGGCTTTAATTGCCCGTCTGAAGATTCCGATCGTTTCCTCTTACGTGCGGTCCTCTCTTGTGTCGGCTTTTTACTAAGGTAAGCTGGCAGATTGGGTAGAAGCGTCGGCACAGCATCAGCGCGGAGAATGGGTCTCCCGCGAGGTATCCACACTTCTTTTCCCTCAGTAATATGCACATAGTCTTTGAGCACATAACGCGGCTCGAAGTGGAGCTCGCACACTGCGCTGGTGTCTTCCAGGGGCTTGTCCGCTCTGCGCAGGTTCTTCTCCCATTGTTTACGCCTGTTCTCATCCTTCGGGACGCCAAACAACGACAGCTTCGGCCCACCCTTCACGAACACATAGCCTGTTCGGCACCCAGGCGCGTAGCAGTGGTTTTGCCGATATCGCGGCATGGCTTAGGCACTAAAGAACATACCGATTTCTTGAGTGGTGCGTACGGCTCACAGCCGACGGCAAAAACTCGGCGCTACAATGGCCACAGCAATAGCACGTCGCTCGACAACTGCTGCTGCGCAAGAGCTGGCCAGCACTTTCAGCCGCCACGCTCCCCCAAAGTTCTATTGATGGCGATGCCAGCGCCGGCGCCCGGGCGAAGAGAGAAACACACACTAGCGACGTTTGTGGAGCCACCCCACCGCATACCCTCCGCCGGGGAGTAAGCCCACTGCCCTCTTCTAGTACACTGTAGCCTGCCACCACAGCGATGCGCAGTGTTGCTTCTGTAAAGCGTTCGTTGCCCGCTGGTTTTAGTGGCCACCCAAATGCGGTGCGTTTCTCCACGGTTGCTTGTTTGGAGGAGAAACAAGCATCGCGTTGGGTTCTTCCGTCGTTTTTTTTTTCTCAATCGAACGCCATGGCATGTATTTGTGCTGACCTGGTTCACGAGGTGACGCGATTTTCACGGTATTTGCCTTTCTGTTCGCCTGTGTGCTTGCCTGTAATGGGCTAGGTTGCAGTTATTATGAAAAAAAAAAACAAGTTCTGGGAACAAATGTGATTCGTATCCTTTTGTTGAGCTTGGTAAACAAAAGAAAAAGCGGGGGTCAAGACATTGCCCTCAGCAGAATTCTGTCTCGTGGGGTGCAGCAATGTATCGCTGCATGATGGTGACGCGGATAAAAAAAACCCGTGATAGGGGCACCTCTTTTTTGTGTGTGTGTAATTTTACGTAGCGTTGTGCTACAAGCGATGCCTTTCTGAGCGAGAAACAGCGCCCTAGACGGGACGAAAGGATAGACGAGGCACGCGGACACAGCACCGAGTCAATTTTTTTTTTACCGAAAGAGACGGAAAGTGTCGTCGTGTTATATAAAAACAGAAATAGCCTTTGCGGTTACGGAACACTTCGGCGTTGGCGACACCGGGGCTATTTATACGCACGTGTGTGTAGACACAACCTGTAACGCAAGGGAACTCAGCCACTTCATAACAGTCCGCCGGCTGCGGAAAGCGCACCAGCATCGCGTACAGCTGCTTTGCGATGAGTAGCGTAACTTTTCCGACTGCACGGCACACTGTCGACTACGGAATGTGGACGAAATTTCCGGTGACTGGTTGGAATGTGCCAGCGCTGTAAAACCTGAGAGCCATCAGTAGCTATAACACTGGATGCACGGGCTGTCTTCGGTTGTCCCCACTTTCACGGAGCGGCAACATAACAAGCAGCTGCCCCACGGCGTTCTTCATAAATCTGTACCTAGCGTGGAATTGTTGCTCGTCGTACAACTCCATCGGATTTCCTTGGTCACGTAAAGCGGTTCCAAGAATCTTCGGCAGGCAGTGCGCCTCAAAAAATGCTACGCTTATGGCGAGGCAAGCAAACTCAAACGCCGCCACCTTTCACGCGACGTCCATTCGAGAGGTGGCCATGTTGGAATAACGCGTGAAGTCACTTTCAAGCAAGCCCCGCAGCTGACTTGAAACTTGTGCTGACTTCGACCGAGCCAAGTCGCCTTCAAGTCATCCGCAAGTTCGAGAACGATTTATGGCGACCGGCAAGACTGTCTTGAGTCAAGAACGAGTCAAGTACGAGTCAAGTAACATCTCTG